ATTTAATATTATTAGAGATAGTAGCCGTGGGATTTTTTTATGGTCCTGTTTTTTGCTATTACTGGTCTTTACTACATGGGCCATTCAGCCGTATGTCATCATTTTTGGTTATAAATATTAATGGTCTCGGCTAATGCGGTTATCCAACGAGCTCACGAAGCTCGCTTTGATGATTAAAACGAGTTGTCAACTGTCAAAAATGTTAAATTTTCGGGCTTGAACTCCTGTAGGTATGTGTTGAATAAATATCGGTTTAAATTCCGCCATTTTCGGCGGCATGACGAGCACATTTCGAGAGTAACGGGACAATTTATGCGGTTTTATCCAGCGTCCCGACGCTTCGGTTTTTTATCATGCAAACTTCCCGGTTCCGGGTAGGTTTTTCAATATCGCACAGTCATAGTGCACAATCACGATGCGCGTTCCAAAACTTCATTACGAGAGCTGTTGCTTGTTTGACGTTCGCAACGGCAATTTTTTTCGTCGACGGTTTTGCATGGAAAAATGAACTTTTGCGGGATATATTCGAAGCGTAATTAAAAAAACCGAGCGTCAGAAGGAGTGGATACTGTCGAGGGACATGGAAGAGTGAAGTATCGTGCGTGTTTTCGCAGATGATCAATGAATTGGTTAGTATCGAATTAAAACGCTCAACTGGATGCCTGTGATAAGTGACACTGTTTAATGTCGAGAAAATCTGGCAGACGCACATTTCCCATGATTAATTCATTAGAAATTACATGTTCGAATTAAATAGGTTAATGGATTATTTTGGTGATGCTCGGGATGAAATTATGTACATGTACATAAACCCCTCACTAATTATTGTAACTCAAAATGTTTTAATTAGGCTGTACAAAATTAGGCTTCGATTGCCCGTAAAATTTAGGACTAAATGACGAAAGGAAAATATTGTTTAGTAACTGGGTAATCTGGTTAATCTTTTGTGAAAAAAGACGGGACTATGATATTTGGACAGTTTCGACCTAAATTTCTGATTATAGATTGTCGGGATATATCTATATTCGAGAAATGACAAAAAACGCCTTATGAAATATTGGAAGAGAAAAGTTTCATCTTTTACGTATTGACAAATCTCGTGTTATTTTTCTATTCGTGACCTTGTTAGGAGCAAAGTTGTAAAAACGCTCCAGGCGATATGTAGAGAGTTATTTTTTTGTTTTCTGAATGAAAAATATAACGATTCCGGTTATTTTTTTTTCTACAAAAGAAAATACTTTTGTAGTACAATGCACCTCTCCAAAATCCAATATCAAATTTTCCCGATATTTTCATGTTTTTGACAACATCGTGTTAAATCGGTTATCACTTTTTTGGCGATTTTTCTCAGCTCATTTCTGTTGATAGATACGCATTTCAATTTGAAAAATGTTGTATTTCAACGATATCGGTTTCTCCTCATAGCAACTGAATTGAACGTGCGGTAATTTTATTATTAATATGGTAATTTGAATCCTACATAGTTATTTTAGTCGATGTTAAAATCATTTCGATCCGAACGTGCAGATTTCTCGTTCGCGTGACGTAAATACAATAAGTCTAAAATAAGTCATCCCACTTCTGATTTTACGCGATTTTCATATAAAACGCGGAAGAGCTCGAAGATATATCGCGTCTTATTTTCGGTCGTGCCGCCTGCAGATCCTTTTAGAGAACGCGAAAAATAAATCGCAAAAGCGATAGATCTCTTTCCGCATTCATTTTTTTGATATTCATGTATAAAGCACTCGCCAGAAGAGACACTACATCTAGTCAACGGGACGTTTATTAATTAGTTTCGGCGTCCCCGTTTTTATTTCTGGTCGACAGCGGAGCGAAAAACGCTTTATTAGTCAAGGGGCCGGAGTAAAATAGGCACTTTATACCCAATTTATCGACAACTAAGATATCCAAGATACAAATCGCCTTGCATACAAACTTTGTGCGCACATTCGTCTAGCCATTCGAGTAAAGCGAGTGCTCAGTTTACTGGGAGTAGCACGGCAATTTGTCCGGCTCTGCGACTAGAAAAGCTCCTAATTTATGCGGCCGTCGCCGGACCGTGACAATGCCGCATTCGTTATATTTTCCGGCGGTTTTTTTCGTTTGTTTTGATCGCGTTCGTAATTGCGCGTAGAGGCTCTAATGTCGCGATGAAAGGGATTTTTTCGACGCTTGGTCGGCGGCCAGGAGAGAACGCGGCGCGCCGAGAAAAGCGCGATTCGTTGACTTTTTTAATCGGTTTGTTTGTCGAACTCCGCCGGTTCATTTTCCGGCTTCGTTTTCCCAGAAATGCGAAACTAATGGTCTGGACTGGTTTACTGATTTTTGCCAATAATCGTCCGATCTGTTATAAACTGGTATAAAGATGGAGAGTAAAACAATCAGCCGGATAAGTGACAAAATAACTGTTAATAAATTGCGGTTCAACTCAAAAACTGCAGGAGCTACAAAGAAAAAACAAAATCCGATACTTCAGGATAAAACAAGAATAAGAAAATTATGATAGAAATTTATTTTTAAAAACTTTAACATCCTGCAGCTCAAAAACTAAAAGGTTTAGGACATACATTGATATAAACTTTTCTTCTTAAAATCATCCAAATATTCGCATCTTAAAGTATCGGCACTCAATTAATTAACACCCTGTATTAGTAGATAGGAAAAAGAAAGGGTGATTTTGTAGGATTGCTCTGTAGGAAGTTTCTTACACTAACCATTGTTATTGTAATAATCTTTGTTTTACTTAAAGAATATTACCATTTGACCATATTATAAAATATTCACAGTTTTCCAAACTTATTAAAATGATATATCTTGTATAATCTACGAAAGAACTTCACACTTGAGTCCTCTTTGATTATTTCGCTCATTTCAAAGAAAATCCAATTCTCCCTTGTTTCTTCGGGGCGCAGGGCCAGGGATGAGCGAGAGCCTCTAATAAAATTCTTATAAAAAATTGGATTAGGATAATTTTTCACGGGTCCCTTAGCCCTCGCGTCCTTTTATTTTTCATTATTCCGAATCCGGGACATATAATCCGGGTAGAAAAATTTTTTATTTGGACAGCTTTCGCTCCTCTTTCGCTTGTTCTTGCGACGACGCCGGAAGAGTAAACGTAAACAAATCCGAGGGGACCAGCGGCGTACGTTTGAACGGGAAAAGGGTCTTTTCGCACTCGTCTTAATTTTTCCCAAGACAAATTAGAACATTTAAAAACACTAGTGTTGCATTAATATATTTGTAACTGTTTTACGTGTTAATTAGAACAAATTAATCGAGGAAATTAATTAACAACTTACGCAATTCATTAGCATTCTGTAATAAAATTTCGGCGATCCGAAATTGCGGGAATATTTTTTTCAATGGCAATAAAATTTAAATAAAACGGCTATTCCGTTTGTTGTGGATCGACGAAGAGTATCGGAAGCGCCGCTGGTTTTTCGAAATTTGTAATTCAAATGAGGCGAAATGACGCAAAGACGCGTCTCCGTGAAAATCGACGGACCATTAATACCTATCATCTTGTTAAATTTGTTAAACGCCGGCTTATCCTTGTTGTTACATTCGACTATTTGTTATTTTGCCTTGGTGCCTTGTTTGTTTTCTAGCCCCTTAGTACCGAAGGCGCTCGTTCAATGGCCATTATTCGCGTCAATGTCGGCGAAATTTTAGAGATTTATTACATTATCCCTGTACTCGTTTATGAATCTCGGTAATGGCGAGCTTTAAAGGATATGTTTTATATGTTTCCTTGTACAAGAATCTCCGAAAGTTTATTGGATTAGTTGTAGGGCGTCTTGTCACCTGGTTTTTGTACTTAATCTTGCCGTGGGTACGGAATAATAGCCACTACCTCCGAAATGAAAACAAAATAAACTGCTAGTATATGCGAAGTAGCGCCATATTTCTCGACTTTATTACGTTCTCTATGCATTTAGGATGTAGAATACGGCCCGTATACGAGATAAATGACGGCAGCTTTTTTTGGTTCCTGAAAGTTTACGGCGAAGTGGGAAAATATGGAATTTAATATGACCAGGCACGTTTTATGCGGACAAATTATGAAAGATCCGTTTCGAAAACGTATAACTTTCACGAATTAATTCGCCGCCTTATATTACTGGAACACCCATTGTTTCTTCATTGCGCTAGTAAATTCGTCCACGTTTCGATTCGGATTCGAATGGAATCTAATAGTTCTATTATAGAAAATTAATACACTCCAAACGTTGTTATACAATAAAATGAGCGTACGATAAATCCAGCCACGTGGTCGTATAATTTTATATCGTTGACTATAAATTACGATTAATAACCTTGCCATTTTCCTATAGTATTAATATCTGTAATCCGGCAAATCTAATAGCACCAGTGAAAACGAAATAATTATACGAAACCCAATGATTATCTTTCATATACTCCTAAATGACACTCTTGACCTGTTTCAGTTATAAAATATATTTTACTACCCCCAACTTTTTTTCCCTTTAAAACTACATCAGTATATGATTCCCATTTCCAATCACTAACAATTCATTACTCTTTATTAACGAAAAATATCAATAATAACCGCGCCGAAGAGGTGGTTTTCCTCAACCATTTCCGGCTAGTTCATTTGTCAGCAATTCTGCGGCGAAAACCAATTTGACCCGAAGCGAGTCGAAGAGATCAATCATCCCTCTCCCGCGACCGCCCGCTTGTTAACCCCCAGATGGATCCGTCTAATGAGATAATTTTATCTCGGCATCTTGTTTTTGTTGTATCTATCGATTGCCCTTGCCTTTTTAATTTGCCGTGAAGGTTCTATCGGCGATTTCGTCGGCACAACCTATTATTAGAGAAAGGGTTGTTGTCGACGTTTCCAACGTATAAAAAAGCAAATTATTTCGTAGATTACAGTTTATCGAGTATATAAACCGACGATGTATAATTATACTGAAACTGGCACTCTTTTGAGTTACTATCCAGGGATTGAAATTTTGTTTTGTTCGTTGCAGATGTTCGATATGAGTACGTGGTGGAGCAGCAGCCGATAGGGAAGCTGCTCTTCGATCAATTCTGCGAGGAGAAAGGGCCGGCTTACTTGCGTTGCCTCAGATTCCTGGACGCGGCCAAGCGCTATGAGGTCGAGACCGACGAGCAGCGCCAGGAATTGGCCAAAGGCATCAAAAAGGAGTTCCTGGTCGAGCACGAGGAACAGGAGACCATCTACTTGCGCGAGGTAACCAATTTTTCATCAAATCGTAGATATAAAGCTTGTGATATTATCACTAACATTCACTGTTTTTATACCATTCTAATTTTCGGTTTATTTCGTTACCTGCTTGTGTTATTTTGTACTGCATGGGAAATTTATTGTTATTAGTTGATAAAAAACGCATGAATGTGTTAGCACCGAAGCGGGTTAATTGATGAATACAAGGTGATTATTCAGTGAAGTTAGCCGCAATTACCGCTGGTTCGCGCGAATAATGCTAATGAATAAATTCCTGTACGGTGATGGACGTAGATTTAAAAGTCTGTGGTGAATTATTTCTAGACCACCAGTCGAGTCGAGTCCGCAAAAGATAAATATTCCGGAAATTCCATTATATCAACATATATTATGTATTCAACGATGTCGATTCTTTCGGCATGCGTCTAAAAATCAGTCGATCATTATATCATTTGATGGTTCATAAATTCTCGATTTGTTTATATAAAATGCGATATGTTGATAATTAAAAAGATACCTGTTTACCCCATTCGTAATCGATGATGTAAAGCTGTTTGTATAACATCATTATTAACATTTACATTCGTTTCGATATTATTCTATCTGGTGCTTGTTGTTTGTGAACGTGAATGATTGAAAAAAATATCAATTAAAATTGTGCATGTAGAAATCGGTAAAAAAACCGCCGCGAGGTATTTCATTTAAATCAAATAATTGCAGGATGTCGTGACGAGTATCTCGTTGCATTTTTGCATTTTAAATGAGCTGTTGACGATTAAATTTAATGCTTTATATCGTAAAAGTTTAACGTGCATTCTTGTCGAACTGCTGGCATTATTATGAAAATTAATGGAATCGAATTCGTATATGGGAAACAGTTCGTTACATAAAAAGAAAAACGTATTCTTTAAAATAGATAAGCGAGTGCAAAAAACTGTTATCGTACGGAATAAATAATAGTTTATGAAATTATTTTCGCCCAAAACGGGATTTCAAACCTATGAGTTACCTAATCGCACTTATCACGAAAACCGCAGCAGTTTTAAGCGTTTATCTGTGTGCATGTAAATTTAAATTTTTAAATTTGCATGCCAGATAAAAATATATCGGCATGGCGAGCGGCAAAAAATTCATTAACTTCGCCTCTACAATCCGCATAATAAAAATAAACGCTTTAATTATTTATAAAACGCCCGCGATTTAACGAGCCTCGCCATTGGGTGGTCTAAAATGCCGATACTTAACTCAAACTCCACACTTTTTAGATCACTTCGGGGCAAAGTGAAAACTATTTTCATTAATTTATTATCGACTCGGCTCGGCAATTACAAGCAAATTGGGAAAGTAACGAAAATAGACGTAAAAAATTGCGTTTAATAGCTAATAAATAAATAATGAGGCACGTCATTGTAGATACTTATTCGAAACGATCGGTTTCCTTAACCCGTAATAATAGGGCGGATAGTATTTTTTCGATAAAGTTCACGAAAAAAGAAAACCAACATCCCACGTTCGCCGCGTTATTGCATAAATACTGATAACAAGTACGTTAAATTGAACGTACAAAACACACAGGGAAGGCCGTCATAAAAACCTTTTTTATAGCCGCGATATTTTTTCCAACCCCGCATTATCACGTTCCAATTTTCATTTAAATACCACCAGGAATGTTTTCGACGCGGCAAATAACAACAACTTATCGCGCGCTCCCCTATACACCCGCAATACGGCGAGGCGTTTTTAATTATTTCTCATCATCGATCGATTTTTTTCTTATTTTTCTTCAGATGGGCCTCATCTTCCCTCCTGGTGACAAGCTCACCAACGGGCACAAGGACCTGTTCGCGCCCTGCGTCCAAGCGGTCAAGGAGACCTTGGCCGGGGAGCCCTTCAAGGAATTCACCACCACGATGTACTTCCATCGGTATTTGCAGTGGAAATGGCTCGAGTCACAGCCGGTCACGTACAAGACCTTTCGGATGTACAGGGTGCTCGGGAAAGGGGGTTTCGGAGAAGTTTGCGCTTGTCAGGTAATTATCCTACGACTTTATATCAACCTACATATGTACTTGTTTGTAGTGAATTTTTAATGATTAAGATTAATCAATCGATAATTTATGGGCTGTGCAGGTCTAAAAGGAGCAAATACGGATTAAAAATCCCCTTTCTGCGGGAATATAATAATGAACTTTGTTGTATCAACCCGGGCGGGTTGTGTATTTGCGAAACCTTAATTTATTTACTTTCGGTTTTTCGGAATAACCTATACCAACAGCGAGTTCTCGTCGTAGGCGAGTTTCGCTTGTAAACCGAGACGAAAAGTAGCTCTGCGATACTCGAGAAATTCGATCTAAACATCAAACAACTGGGAAACTTCGCGTTTTCCCTCTCTAAATACGCGAATAACTATCAGATGAAGGGAACGCTAACAAGACGTTTTTAACGGCTCCGCTTTAGAACGATAAAAATTTTAAAGTGGCTTTATTGCAACATACTCTCTGCTTACGTTAAAGTATCTATAACGTTACAATTCGTAGGGATATTCTCGTGACGTCGCCGCTTGATTAACTTGAACATATTTTATTCGTGTTGGTATAAAACTTTTTTTTTGACATACTTGCAGGGCTCGTTTTAATTATATTTTATTACACGAAACGACAACGCCGCCGGCGGTATTTCGCGATGCGGTTTATGAGTTAGAAATGGCTTTGGGACCTCCAGAGCTCGGAGTTCATCAAAAATGAGTCCTCTCCGTGGAAATGAGATGCGCTGTATACGGGTTTTTGCGCGCCCCTTTGGTATACGAGCATTTAATGAGCTCGGAAAAGGGAGTTTGAAATTGGGTAGTTTTCGGAATTTTCGAGCAAAGAATTACCGGCTGAAAGTGTCGAAGTTTTACGGGATCGAAAACACCTAAATTAGCGTTAGGGGATTGTTCATTTTCAAGCGGAAAACAACTCGGCTTTTCCCTGACATGGCTTTCCCGTGATGGAGTCCTAACACCTGCCGAAAGCGATGAAAACGTAATGTCGAATTGATCGGACGAGACTGAACAGGTTCCGGCTTGGCTCGATTTTCTCTGCACCCCGGATAAAAAGTATAAAACCCAAATGAATTTCTGTGGCACAAAATCTCCATGTCCTCTTTCAAAAGATTCTCGTACAGGATTGACTGCAGGTATTGATTGGGTAATGGTCAAAAATTATCCTGTAAAATTAAAAATTTTTGCTTTGCCGATTCGAGAAATTTGCGACGTTGCCATGTCGTATTTTTTTATCGAATTTTAAATGAAAATTCATTCGCTTTTTTTCCATTAAATTTATTATATTAATACAGCCCTGGATGACGCGTGTTTCGTATTTTGAACGTCTCTCTCGTGCAATTTTTGCAAGCGCCCAGATTGTTTAGTATGCGAACGGAGTTTTTCCCTGCACGACATGACGTCGGTACGCCCTTTCGACGATATTATTTCGCGTGTTTATTGAAATTTAATATAGGCGAATTTTCGCTCGTCGAAAAAAAAATTCATCGAATTTTATTGAATGCCGTACGATTCGTAGCTATAATCGCCAATTAACCAGCGATTATTTTAGTTTTTGATAAACATTTCATTCGGCTAAGTGGCGGCGCTTTTCCGTAACCAATTTGGAGGAAAAAAAGCGCCATTTGGAAACGTCCACTGCTCTTTATTTCCCGAACTTTCCGAATAGATGGTCACTGATCGAGCCCGGGCCCGAGAAAAATCTATTTCATAACGGGATGATTCGTTTCATTGGAATCGAATTAGGTGCATCATTATCGTTCGCTTGTATTTTATGTCTACTTACCTACTCTCCGAAAAGGAGTATGTATTTTGGTATAAATTATTAACGTTACAGCGTTACAGAGGAAAATTGCAATTTCGGGTAGTTTATTGAACTCTTTCTGAACGCCTTTTTATACTCTGCAGAAAACATATAGAGGTTTCGAATCCAATTAGAGGGTGAACAGCCGGAATTTACAAACATCTCCCTTTTAATTTACAGCGCGAATATTTAATGCAATCCGTATCAAACCGCCCGGAAAATTCACCGCCAATAAAAATGTCTTCTTTTATTCGCGGAACGAGCTCGCAAATTACCTACGGTTATTTTTTTTCCGGAAAATTAATATCCCCCCGAATCCGTTAGTTCATTAACCTTTTCAGCGCGGGCGCGAGCATACCTATACATCTGCATTTACTCAACCCTCCGCCCACAACAAGTAGGAGTATCTACAGGTAGATGTTTTCAGATGGAGCGCTTAAATTATGCGCAGTTTTTTTTATAATCTACGAATATTGTTGATTAATCATAGAGGGCAATTGGATAGGAAAACCGAATCGCCATATATCTCAAGGACAATTAAATCCTCTGGGAAATTTCATTAGAGCGACGGCCGGGAGTTTCATCCGCGCTCCGAGTGCAAGCTTACAAAAGTCGGTTGAATAATGAAAATTCAAATGGATTGCGATAACAATTCCGGTTTATTCCGGTCGAATTTATTGGGCAATTAACGAGCGCGGTTCTCGGCTCGCACTTCTCGCCGTTCGCAATCATCTTTCCCGCGCCGAACCTTCTCGTTCTTCGTCGTCGTGGAAGAGGCGCCGGGGCTTTCGCGCGTATATGCAAATCGCGCCCGGAGCCTAAATCAATCCGAAGGCGACGATTCCGCCTTAATTTTTAATTAACTCGCGCCGTCGGCGCGATTATCGCGAAACGCACAAAAAGCCGATCGCCGGTTTTGTTTTTCTCGGTTTCTTCGCAAACTATATTTTCGCGGCGCTCGATCTTATAGTTTGGAAAAGTTCGGGATGTGCTTTACGAGCGACGTGGGAGCGAGTCGCTTTTTTTTAAATGAGTTTATCTAGCCCGAGCACGGGAGCCGTTCTACAGGGAGTCTCGCGTTTAAATAATTTTTCGAAAATTTGCCAGCTATTTTTACATTCGACTATCGGGCGTCTAGAAGCTAAGGAAAACAGCTTCGAAAAACGCATCAATATTAATAAACTGGAGCTCATTTGCGGTCGGAAGTTCGAAATTTTGTTTACTCCTCGTGATCTTCATGCTAAGTTTCTACAATATTGCAAGAAGGTAAACACACATTTGTCAGGGAAATTGAATTACGACAGTATGAGAAAGCAATTTTGTTTACTCGCCTTCTTACATCAAACTTTTTCCATTTAATAAAAGTGTATTAAAATTCGGTTTGTTCATATGCACCATTGCTATTTGCTCGCTTTAAGAGCTTTTTCATTTGACCTAATTTATTCTCAACTCTCTTCGCGAGCTTGATGCTTTTAAATTTAGTGTCTCGTATCTCGCTTGATTCGAGAGTCTTTGTACTTGGATACATTTGTTGGCATAATTCGCTGAAACGAATCCTTGGATGTGTATCGTTTTATTAACGCTGTTTGCGATGTTGATGAAATACCTGAGAGCCCGGCGCTCCGGCGAAGAGGCGGCGCGGAGACGGCCAATTTTCTCGAGTGTTAAGGACATGTCAGCGTCGCCAAATTGGCTCCCTAAATTAGATTATAAGGGCCGCTTCGAGACGACAATACGAGACACGGTTCACGGATTTACCGGTTCGGAAAACTCAGTATTGTAGCCTAACAGTTTCTAATAATCGACGCCCTACGCTCGCTTTTGTAGAGCTTGAATTGACCATTATCCGGTTCAACGAATGACGGGTAACTTTTGAAAGATCCGGCGCCGGTATGCAAAAGGTGGAAAATCTAGTCTGGCATTAATTAGGAAAGTTTGATATCTAGGTTGTTTATATTAGAATTTCAATTTACGTTTTGAATATAATCCTGTAGACCCTTTATAATCCGATTCTAACGCCGTGAGGTCGTTCCAGATGAAACTATATGAGAACTAATAGAGTTTCTAGAATGCACGTGTTAAATTTTATTCCACGAATATGTTGTCTATACACTCTAGACAGGCAAAAAAACGGGCGAGATTTCGTGCGTCATTCCAGACCGCGAATTTAAGTGTCTGTTTAACTTTCGCTCGATAAATAATATTCGAGAGGTTGTTTACGAACATTATCCTCGGTATATTAGCTGCAGTAATCCCGAAGATTTCGGCTCCGTCGTCGAACCGATGCTCCCTCCGGATGCACCGGGAATCGATTCGTCGGGGCGCTCACGATACTCGCGACACCTTAATCGCGCGAAACTTACCTAGTACGTGCTCGTTTGAAGAAATGCATTTTATTGCCGCCTCGGTGACAATTCACGCGGAATTGTAACCACTCGAAAAGATTACTGTTGCAAAGGATGCGCTCAGGATCGAACTGGGCCCGACTTTCTTGCAGATCCCAAGATGCATGATTGATTATTATGTACATATTATAGCTCCATTTCGAGATTCATTAGAAAATCGTGAAAAAAATTGGTGTAAATTGGTGTTAAGTATTGTAATTTTTGTCTGTTATATAAAAGAGAAACATTTGTGGATTCTGTTGTATAATGCTCCTCCATAAAGATCTTTATAAAAGTGTGTCTTACAATTTATACAGTTTTATACAGAACACAAAAAGATAATACGAGAAGTTTCTATAACTTTTTTAGCGTAATTTAATACTCTTATAAACCTATGAACCGTAGATAAAAATCCATAAGATGAACAAGTTTACCTTCTTTAGTTTGCCAGAGACGGACTATAACTTTGACACAATAATATCCATTTTCACACCCTCTACATAAAAGCATATAAAACAATATTCCGGTGCACACTGCACAAGAACTGTTGGTTAATAAATTCAAATAAAGTCAGCGAGTTCGGTCCTGGTTCGCAGACGACATATGTGCAACCGGAGAGCTCTTTTGTCTTAACGTGAGTTCCTTTCTTTTTGTACCTTTCCAGGGAAGCCATTTCGGTTTTCTCTTTATTTTTGCCCTTTTTTCCGCCGGAAAAGTAGCTGGAAGGTAAAGGTTTTTAACCGTCGTCATTCCAACCCCGTGTGGATTCCCGTACCGAAATTACGTTTATACGATAGGTATTTTTACGACAGAATTGTATGGATTTCGGAAGATTGAATACACACAAATCAATTATCGCTGTAAATTATGATTGCTTATTTTGGCAACATTTTAACGAATAACCTTATATTCTCGCGTTGTGTATATTCTTTTAAATTGGTAGAGTGTTTGATTAAAATTTTAGCGTTAGTTGTGTTTCTCGAAGGCTTTTTTATGGTACTGCGAATCGGTTGCGACATCGAAACGTCGATATAACGGCGATAAAAAAAACGCCGGACTGTTGTCGAATGTTCGGCACACGATGAAACGATCAGCGTTTACATTGTTACGCGGGCACCTTAAGAGGAAAATTTATCGGAGAGGCTTTTAACGGAGCCGGCCCATAAAATGTTATGGCCGTCCGACGACGGCAACGCTGTATAAATATTTTCGTTTTTTAGGTCATGTGCCCTATTATTTTTAATTGATCGACTGGTGTGTATTTGCGCTCGATTCGCGATGCTTCTCTATTCCGTACGTACAACGGCGTTAAATCGTCGCTTTAATTAAAAAATCACGAATTCGAATTTCTATGGTGTGTGTTCGATGTCGTTTGCATCTTAATCCCGTCCTGTTTGCGTTATTGGAAATCGTGCCTAGCAGGTGAATGGGATTCCGGACAACAAATTGCATATCGAGCTGGTAGGTAAAAAAGGTCCGGGCATCTGGGTGTAGTCGTGTAGAAATTTAATATTCATTCGATTGGAAGAATAGTTGAAAAAAGAAATCCACTTCGATTTTTTTTTGTTTCTATGTTTGTACAATTCACTTTTGATGGGTCGCTTTAGAGACGGTACAACAAATTGCTTTAATCGCTTTAATTTTATCGCGTTCAAAGCCGAATCCAGGTTAAACCGATTATTTTGCGAGTCGCAATCGGAAATCGAAATACTCGAATCGAGATGGAACCTATGAAAAACATAAAAAATAAACGAAACGACAGCAGATATTAGATTTAGGTACCTTAAGACATTTTTTGCCCCGATGAGAATATTTTGCATTAAATTTTATTCGCGAGAGAAAATGCGATTACCGTCGAATTGGCTGTTATTGAAGTAAATAACTTTTCGAATTCGTTTCCTTCGGAAAACTCGCCGTCGCTTTTCAACTTCTCCGTAAACACGAATTAGAGGACGATTTTTAGATGAGGTCGCTTTAAAAATTTAATGCGGAAATTACTCTGGTAAATTTGTTATTCCTGCATGAAAGTTCACAGTTATTCATTCCATTTCCAATGATTTTCACTAAAGGAACGATTTTAATTGGCGATTAACTGAAAATAGATTTCGACTTTAAAGTGTGAATTTAATTACGATAAGAAAATAAATAGGAACTTTTAAATATTATGTTTATTCCTATAGCGAATCTTATTGCCATATGTTTCGTCTAAACTAGCAAATAATAGTTCTTATCAATTGATTAGAATTTGTTTAGCCTTTAAGTTATTTAAAGTAATGTGGAAGATTTTAAATCTAAATAAATGATTAAGACATAGGTATTAAAAACATAATAAAAATTGTGAAAAATGCCTTCAAAAAAACATTTTTAGAATATTTTTTGCTTTCAAGAAAAGCTTATTGGAAAAATTGGTACCTACTCAAAGTCTTCCTCGCCTCATGAGCTTGATATTATATCTGTATCCATTTCTCATTTTTCTCGAATTCATCAACTTTTTATATCTCGATAGCCGCGCGAGCTCGTGTGAAACAACACATAATATCGCCCAAAATCGCCGGTTTCTTAAAGATTATTTACGCACAATTAAACTTTTATGCGCGTATACGCAATCGTTAGTTAAACCGATCCGAAAAACACCGCCGAAGCCTCTTGTAGCGTTTCGGGCTCGTACATCATTTGTGCCGTGACAAGGGCCCGTAAAAGAGCTATCGCCCCCTAAAAAAAATTCCAGATAAAAGCCAGAAAACTCTCGTACGTTCATGCGAGTACGTACTTTCGGCCCGATACCGAAATAAATCCGTTCGAGCGGTTCCAATGCCCGTGTATTTATTTCCGAATCGGTTGACATGCACAAGCACGGCTCGGCGAACGTTTAAGTGCTCACTTAATTTTAATGTTAGCGTACGATAAAATTTAATTTCGACGGATCGAAAACGGTAAAACGTCCGTTCCGAATGCGCCGGTCCCGGAATTGATCATCCATCGAGGTAAATATAGCCTTTTTAATGCTACTAGAAAAGCTAATAAATAAATTAGATCATCCCTCTATACTTAATAATTAACGTTCGTTAGTCCTCCGGTGGTTTCATCGATTTCACGATTGAATTTACCGGCGAGACTCGTTGACCCAATTATCTAGGATACGTTGAATAATGTACGGAATCCAACCTGGGTGTTATTGTTTTTCCTGTAACACAATATATTGCGAACGGGTTGAATTTTAATAGCGCTCGAATTCCGTTTAATACGCGTCACGAACAATAGCTTCGATTACGCCTGCACAAAACGCATTAAATTCGCGATATTCGAACAAAGGCCGGTGTCTCATTAACGCCGTTCGCTTCAGGTACGGGCCACCGGTAAAATGTACGCCTGCAAAAAGCTGGAGAAGAAGCGCATAAAGAAGCGCAAAGGCGAGGCGATGGTGCTCATCGAGAAGCAGATACTCCAGAGGATCAATTCGCGGTTCGTCGTCAGCTTGGCGTACGCGTACGAGACCAAAGACGCCCTGTGCCTGGTATTGACCATCATGAACGGCGGCGATCTCAAGTTCCACATATACAACATGGGCGGCGATCCGGGGCTCGATCTGACGCGCGCCCGTTTCTACGCCGCCGAAGTGGTCTGCGGATTGGACCATCTGCACCAACAAGTTAGTCAGAATTACATATTTTATCTAGATTATGTCCAATGCTATGCTTCAAGCGAGTCTTCCAATTTTATTTTTCCTTCTTAAAGTGTCAAAAAGAATCTTGCGTTTGAGTTCATCGTTTTCATCTTGTAGTATTTGGAGGTAAACAATGGCAATTTTCTTCTGCCTATTTCTCTTCTCCATCCTTCAATTTTGCCTTGAATAATGTAGTGATGGAAGTGGTAATGTACTCCAATTTCCAAGCAGTAGTTTATTTATATCTAATATCTGGAGCTACTTCAAAGAACGTGTTATAAAGTAATGATCTTCTCCTAGAACTGCCTTTTGTGACCCATTATTTGCTTATCTAGACATTAAAGCAAGACTCCCAATCGTACTTTTTCTATAAAATCTAGCCCATGAAGCTTCTTGAAAGAAGGTCCGACAATCTCTAGCTCCAAAGCGTTGTGGTTTTGGGTTCTGTGGAGCAGTTAACGTATTCTTTGCTTACATTTCAGATCCGTAATCATTGCAATTAGGTAAAATTGGTTTGATATTTCAGGGCATCGTTTATAGAGACTGTAAACCGGAAAATATACTCCTAGATGACGCCGGTCACGTGAGGATCTCAGATTTAGGCTTAGCTGTAGATATTCCAGAAGGCGAATCGGTTAGAGGTAGAGTCGGAACAGTAGGCTATATGGGTAAATATCGCTAAAATAATAGTAGTTTATTTTAATCAACAGCTAAAAGTCTATACAGTTTGATAAAAGGAGTTTATGGTTGGTACTTTTGGGACTAGTTTGAGCAATTGGTGTTTAATTTATGCTATTAACTTTTCCCAAAATCCAAAATCTCCCAGTTACTGTAGGTTTATTGTATTCCTTTGAACACTAAAAACCCTTTCGAATCCTATCCAGCTTTCTCTTCAACTATCTTGTGTTTTGATTGAAGCTGATAGAACAACCTCTAATGTATTGGTATTTCGGAACTAAACCAAAAGTACCAATCATTCCGAATAGTAGGATTTTTCGAATATCGTACGCTTCTCTTTAATGGTGAAATGAAATTGTAGCGCCCGAAGTGATCGACAACGAACGGTACACGTTCAGTCCGGATTGGTTCAGCTTCGGCTGTCTGCTGTACGAGATGATCGAGGGCCAGGCGCCGTTCAGGGCGCGCAAGGAGAAGGTGAAGCGCGAAGAGGTGGACAGGCGCGTGAAGAACGAGCAGGAGAAGTACTCGAACAAGTTCAGCGAGGACGCCAAATCGCTGTGCCAACAGCTGCTGGCGAAGAGCCCGCTGGGCCGGCTGGGCGGCAAGGCGGGCCGATCGGGCGCCGCTCTGGTCAAGCAGCACGCGTTCTTCCAGCCGCACATCAACTGGAGGCGGTTGGAGGCCGGGATGATCGATCCGCCGTTCGTGCCCGACGTGAGTTGTGTTTGTTTGTAGTTGTGTATTTTAATTTGATCGCTTTTTTTGTTGTTGTTGTTGTTTCAGCCGCACGCCGTGTACGCAAAGGACGTTTTAGATATCGAACAATTTTCGACGGTTAAAGGTGTAAATATAGACGAAAGTGATGCTAGTTTTTATAATAAATTCAATACGGGTTGTGTTTCGATACCGTGGCAGACAGAAATGATCGAAACGGATTGTTTTCGGCAGTTGAACGTTTTCGGACCAGGCAGTACGCGTTCGCCCGATCTGGTTCTGCAACCGGCGGCTGTTTGTGAAAATGAAGGCTGTTTTCCCTTTAGGCGAAAGGTAAAAAACCACTTTTTATTGCAGGTTTGATCGCCGCGCGTCGTTAATTTCCCCGGAAATTTGACGATCTTGGCATTTTTATGCCCTTTTTTATCGCAATATCGGGTCTCCGCCATCGCTTCAATGCAGCCAGCGACCATATTATAGGTTCGTTCGGCGTACAAATACCAGGATTTTATGAAGCTAGGATTATCTGCAAGAAGCTAGCTAATAAAATCCTGGCGGGGATTAAGCACTGTCTAAGGCTAGGTTAATTTATTTGAACGAAAAGAGCTCTCTCTTCTTCCTTAAGGTGAGTAAAATAATGCATTCAGCAAACGAAAAGTTTCATGAGCATCGCGTATTTATATTTATACATCGGAGTCGACGGCCTCGTATATTTTTATTGATTAGCCGCTTTTTTTTAATGGCGATATTCTGCAACTTTGATCGCAAGTTGCGTATTTACTATAGCTTCACAGTTTGTTATCTTAAACGCGCGAAAGTATTGTTTACGGAATAGTAAAAATAATGAGCCAGAAGTATGCCAAATTCACGGTCGTTAGATCGGAGTGATCTTAATAATATATTAAGCATATTTTAATAGCTTAGAAAACTCGTAAAAGTTGTGAAATAAAGGTCGAACTGGCATTAGATTGTACGAAAACAATGAATTTTCTGTTTAATACCGGCGCTATTTATAAGTGCGCGTGTATTTTCAAACAGAAACGGATTGTTTTACGCGATATACGAGGGTGGTTTGAAAAAAGTCCGTGACTTTTAAAGGAAAACGTCAGTTTTTCAACAAAAAATCATTTTATTTCTACATAATTTCCTTTTAGGTCGATACACTTAGTCCATCGTGTTTCTAATTTGTTTATTCCTTCTAAATATGTAATAAGATTTCTCAAGACCCTTAAAATAACCCGAATCTTTTACCACCAAGCCATTTCTTCAGGTTTGGAAACAGAAAATAGTCAGAGGGGGCTAAATCCGGAGAATAAGGTGAGTGGCGTAGCAGTACATAGCCCAATTGATGAAATTTTGCCATGGATGAAATTTTCAGTTTTTGTGAATATTAACGAGGTTAGCTGCTTTTAATGGCTGTCAAACACAAACTTAACGTCACAGCTGCCAAAATTTGACAGTACTCTACCAATAGATAGCACTTGACGGAAACAGTGTCGATATTGGCTAGTGTGCTGGAAAATCAAAAAGTCAAACTTATCAAACCACCCCTCGTATTCGAACATAATGAGGAGATATATCTCATAGAAATAAAATTCCTTAAGTTACCCAATCACTACAACTTTCCTATTCCTATACCGAATTATCCAAATATAACTCCTCGCTTATTTATAAGCCTCCGCTATTTAAAGATACGCGTACATCGAATAATTGAATGCGTTGATGATTTCTTTTTTTTTTCCTTCTAGAAAAAGCAACTTCCTAGGAGTCGTCCGATACCCATTAATCCGACGCTATTACCACAACTGACGTTCCAGCTGGCGGAGAGATGATTACCGGGCTAAGAGCCGTCTCGGCCGCATCTATTTTCATCTCGCATCCACGGCTTCGGTCCTCTTTGTTCGGCTGTTCGCGATTAACAGGGAAAGGATATATCGTCGGAGCGTGATCGTTAAATTCCCTAATTTGAAATATTGGAAGTTTGCGTACGGTATGAAAACGCTTAGAATCTCTCTTGTACGCTTCAGTTTTTGGTATCGCGTCGAAAGGGCCATCGTGGTAGATGATAGTTGGAGAAACGTGCTAGGTTTATTATGCGGAGCGAAATTAATTTTTAGGTCTTCTAATGATTCGTATTTGTACTTGTAATCGATTTATTTTTGTTCGTAATCGGTTCTGAATGTAGATTTCATCTGCCCTGATGGTGGGTCTTAAACGTTGTTCGTAACGACTATTTTCTTTTGCACGAATTAACCGCAAGTGTTTGATTTTTTTTGGAGGATAACGTGTGTTATCGTTGAGCCGAAAAGGACCAAGCGCAATTTAACATTGATATTAATCGGATTTTTTTGGTGTAATTTTTAATTAGCTCATCTGTGATTTTCGATCTGAATTGGTGCTCAAATTATTTTATAAAGCATGATTATTATTTTTATATACTTTGACGTGTACAAAGTTAATTTGCGGGAAACGAAATAGTCGCTGCGAAGGGTGTAATGAATTGTTTCATTCCAATCATAATTTTCTGTATACAATTTATCTAGAATTGATGTAATTTGACGAAACAAAAGACCATTATATTGTTTAATTTATTTTCTCTTTGTACTTCCTTTACTTGAATTTCCTCATGTCCGAGTATTTCCTGCGACGACAGAGACGTTTCATTTGCTTTTATAGGGATTAAAACAATTCTATTCTTCCTGCAATTCTACTATCTGGAAGTGCTTCAAAAAAGGTAAGTTTCCCTAATCTCTTGAGAAATTATTAAACTATCAAGCATTGTAAATACCTTATTTTATTTTTGTAATATTATCTTAAATAAGTTACTTATAAATATTGTGATTAACTAACCTTGTACAATACATATCACATTGATGAAACTGGACAAAACAATAAAATATTTACAGAATTTACCATTCAATTGACGTACTAATGATACTGTGACAAAAATGATAACATATAAAATGAATTCTCACTCAAATCCCTCATTAATTATGTTTAGTAATGTGCTGTTAATAATTAACGAACTGTTTGGGACATGTGCAATGGCGTTAGCATTAATTCGAACGCCGCATCTTTCAGATTAGCGCCCCTTAAGTTGGCCTCTTGCAAATCGCTTCCAGATAAATCGCAATTCTAGAAAAAAAAAATACATTAACTTAAATTTAAACGCGGCTTGTATTGTTACCTCTAGATTAGCCCCCGCTAGCACAGCAGCTCTTAAATCGCAATTTTTCAAATTGGCGTTTTTCAGATTGGCTACCCTCAGATTCACCCCACCCATGTCGCTACCCTCGAGAATGGCCCCTCGAAGATTAACCCCTTCCATGTTGGCTCGACTGCCAGCCGGATCTTTGAAGTTGCAATTCTTCATCGAAACACCCTTAAAGTTCGCACACAACGATTTGACTCCTGAAATCAAAATTTTAGAAATTCGTAGAGGGTCTTTCAACGAGAACTTCAACCCCCTAGAACTAGAGAACCGAATATTTATTCGGAGTTCGCTGAGACCTGTCAATATTTGTTCTTCGGGGATTTTTGACTGTCTATGTTCATCCCCTTAAGCCCTGACAACTCTAACTTTAGTTTTTCAATCGGTTCTAGTTTTACGGGGAGTTAAGTTTCTGTTGAAAGACCTTTTATCGAAATAAATATACCCAATAATTGCGCAGAATCGAGCACTGCGAACGATAAGTCGGCCCTTTCTAAGCAGCACCAACTCAAATTCGAGCTCATCAGATTGCACATCTGCAAATTGGCGTATTTGAAATTGATATTCCTCAAATCCAATCTGCTTAGGTCCGATCCAGCCAAATTAACTCCTTGAAATCGTAGTTCTGCAGAGTGCGGACTTTTTATTAGTGCATCTATAACATCCCTGCGATTCAACGGTAAGTTGTCTTTATTTACTTTCTCTTTTGTAATGACTTGCTCTAGTAAAGGTATAACTGATTCTATTCCAAAAAATTTCGCTTCTTCCAATATCCCTTCGGGGTTCACGTTTTTGTCGTATATTAATTGACCGCAACGCAGGTAATTGAGTAGGGGCTCAAAGTACGTGGGAGTTCGGTCTATTAAGTAAGCCCCGTTTTGATCTAGACTACTGGGTGATAGGTAACCTTCAGTATCATCGGAAAACATTCTTGCCAGCATGCTCGTCGGTTCGCTGGTAGTCAAAGTTCGTTTCGAAGTAGTGAAACATTTTCCACCCACATTTAAAGTTACCCAGTCGGAATTACGATCCACTTTAGCAGGAGGTGGTTTGAATTCTTCCCCTTCGGAGAAATAAAGCTTATCGTTGTTTCTGAGTTGGGCGATATCGGTTAGTTCGGACCCATCTTCAAGGAATATTTTTTGAGGTTTGATGCTTAATTTAGTGAAAGCCGCTTCTAGCAGTTGATCTAAGCTTGAGGGTTTAATTGTGGTCTACAAAAATTGATGAATGAGATCATTTTGAATAAAGGCTCGATGATTTTACCGTAATGTTTGTGGTTTTGCCGTTAATGTACAGAAAAACAGTCTTTTTATTCATTCTTCTTAGTTAATTTGTTTGTTGATGTATATTAAACAGCTGTTTTTGACAGTGACATATGTCAGTTCTTCTATTTTTTACCTACTTATGTGTCTAAAGTATCGTTTCCTTGTAGTTAATTTTAGATAAATAGAAATGAAAAACTGGAATTTTGATAATTAAAGGCAAGTTAATAAATAAAAAGTGAATTGGAAATTAATATATTCCAAGATGAAGAATTTTAGTATATTTTTTGTTTAAAATGACGTAAAAGTCAACGTATAAATACGTCAAATAAGTCAAAAAAATCGTACTACCATACCAACTTCAAAAAAATTTAAAACACCAGTTGAAATTAAAAATTTTTCTTTAGTGTTTGTTTTGATATTTAAACGAGTATACATTTGTAAATTAAAAAAAATATCATGGACTTTGAATGGAAAGAAAATTAGTGATCGTGGTTAATAATACGTGTAATTTTTACGTTAAATTGCCATAAAAAGAATGTCGTTTATTGGCGGAAATAATGCGAGCATTGACGTAAATAAATGGCCAATGATGTAATTAAAATCTCGGCTTTCGTTCTCGATTAATTTCTATAAATAGTTGATTTTAACGATGTGTTTACATACAGAAAAAAGGACTTTACGAAAACTCGCAGAAGAAATCAATAAATTCTTACATACGTGCGTGCGCAATCGACTTCCGATTAAAAGTTTGCATCAAAAATAAAAATAATTCATTCGAATTATAACCTAAAATGAGGAGTACTTGATAAAGATGAAAAACATTTGTTGTGGTTTTACTTTAAATTGCTAGTTAAGTTTTTTTTTCGTTTTATCGTCAAACTAGTCTTTTAATTGCCAGTACAGTTTAGCAGAGTAGTAAGAATTATGGACTCGACAAATATACCTGTTTTACTAGTCACTGCAAATGTAGGATCTATATTTGAAGATGTAAGTACAATTTTACATTGTTTATTACATTAGCTACTCGATTCTTATTAGAGAAGCAATTATTTTGTCTTCTAATTAACGAGTTAATCATCTATTTGAGTTCTCATTGATTATTTACTTATTTCGTAATGAATTAGTTACTCCACTTTAATTTTCCATCAAATCATTTAAACAATTGCACATTGAAATCATCTCGTTAATTAGTCTTTTTCTAGATTAATTGTTTAATATTTTTATTCATAGCGGTTAAAATTTTATTCGAGATTTTTACGACTGTAACTAATTAATGAATCATAGGACCAATTTAAATAATGCGATGGAATAAATGCATCAACAAAAACCTTTTAAAATAGCATTTTTTTAAATTATTAATGCATTCGGAATGCTTGCCAAAAAATCCCGAGCGAACGGTAACGGTTTAATTATTTTATTTACAGCCGAATGAAATGCTTAAAGTATGGACCGAAGAATTCCTTTCGACCGTGTCCAAGTTAGATCCGAAATTCATCGGGCTGCATTGCCAGGAAGTCGGAGGCAAAAACTACGAACTGAGTATGAAACACGTCGAGCATTTCGTGAAATTACTCATGTCCAGCAATGAATTACGCTTATTCAATAGAGTTATGGTATTTTTGGACGAAGACTACAGATCTGCTGAAAACTTTACTGTAAAACACAAACGCTTTTAATCTATTGGTATTTATAGAGCAATTGTATTTTGTTAGGCGTTGGGGAACTTGTACTTCGTGCACGAATCCGTAGAGAACGCATCGATTTGGAATTTCGAAGATAGCATATTCGTACCGGTCCAGGGTACCGAGATACACTCAGGAAACATCGAGACTGTCGTGACTAAAGAGAAAGCCAAATTCCCGCAGGATTTTTTCCCCGAAGTGAGCAACGCCATTTCTAACGACCGTTTCTCAGTAACGAAACTTTGATTTTTCAGTGTAAATGGTCTCGTAAAGGATTCATGCGGACTAGGTGGTCTTTAAACGGCACCATAATTGATCTGGTCAACATCCATTTATTCCACGACGCCTCGAATTTCATCGCGATGGAATCCTACCCGTCTGTTTATTGTAAAAATAGACGAAGGGCTCTGCAGCATACGCTCCAGCGGTTCCATAATGACCAATACGACAATGCTCCATTCTTCCTATTTGGCGATTTTAATTTTAGAATGGACACCGACGGTGTTGTTAAGGTATGTACTTCAATTGCCGATGCCTATTTTGACTAGCACGTTAAAAATTTGTAATTAGTGATGTTTCAAATTATTCAAGTTGCTTTATTTAGAAAAAAAACTCGTTGAACAGGATGTAGATTAATTTTCTAGTTGAAAGCTATGCGTACGGTAACTATTTAAAGCAAGTGCTTGTTATCGATTTTAATCAATTCTAGATTAATTACAGTGGAAATTAGTTAGTATAATCTGTTGGTCGGATTTTTATTTGCACAAACAATCATTGTTTATCTTACTATTAGAATGTATTTTTGATTTCATTATATAAATTTCCTTTTACTTTTAACTGGCAAATTGCCCTTGCTTGGTTGATTGATTTGTTTTCAAGGTTTTTTTTTGATAAATTTTTCTCATTTGTTTAAATGATATTTAGGGAATTCTTGAGGATTTTTAAAGAAAATCTTTTGTATTCATGATCGGCTTAATATTGGTTCAAATAGCAAAAAAATAAAAAAAACAAATAACAGATAGTTAATAGAATTCCATATTATATAAAAAAAATTGTTTCTATAACCACTTACCTTATCGTAAAATGATTTAAAATACGCACTGAATTAGTCATAATGACGATTTTACAAAAGCTTATTTAATAATTAATTATTAATTCAATGGGTGACTCAGAGGAGGATGCATAAAAAAATAGAAAAACTTGGAAAAAGTAGAACAAAATTGGTAAAAACTAATTAAATGCATAGAGAGAGATTCTTAAATATTTTTCAGATTCTTATTCTCTTATTTTTAAGATTGTTAAACCTTTCATAAAATCACCTAAAATCACGTTAATCTCTGAAAATCATCTCTAAAAGTCCCGTTAAAAATCATGAAAAAAAAACCTTTGAAGACCCCCTCATAATTTCCACTTTTGTGTACATATTTGAATATATTATGTATTAATGTTAAACATTTTCATTTGTAGTAAACAAGTCGCTCGTCACAATAGATACATAATTTTCGTATCAATACGCACGCATACCCATTTAATTTTTGTAATATTTCAGAAATTAACGGACGGACTGAAAACTACTCGAATTCAAAATAACAAAAATAACGAATTCGCCAAATTGCAATTTACTACTGAAGATAACAAATTGATATTGACAGTAGGCAAGAAGGAATTTAATCATTCCGATCACCAGACTGTCTTCATGAACCCCACTTCTGAATCGGTAAGTTCCTTTACACGAATCGCAGAAAAAAATCTATTCGTAACTCATTAATTAGGTTAATTCGCACGAGTTTATTTTCGGTGCGATTACATTAACAAATACGCCAATTTAATTGGACGCGAATCTATTTAAAAGAATTTAATCGCTCCTACATCAAAGGAAATCTAAACAATATAATTTGCACGGGAAATTTCTTATCGCAATCTATTTCCTTAGCCGTTCGATTGATAAGGGGAAATTAATTCGAAACAAACAAACTACAAGTGCGTCGTGACCTTATTCGAGGGAAAAACCCAACGGGAATAATTAACAAAAAAAACCGTTTTTTTAATTGATTACATAACGCACAATAAACGATTTTCGCGTCATCCTTTCAGCTGAAATCCTTCGACAAGGAACTGGAGGCGTTCGAAGACACGCTGACCGAGTACCCCGTGAACTTTCCCCCTTCGTATCCGTTCGAAGAAAACATCGCCCGCGCCACCACCTACATGCAAACGAGATGCCCCGCTTGGTGCGACAGGGTGTTGCTCAGCAAGAACGCCAAGCAACTGGTCGTCGAAAGCGCCGGCGTCGATTACGGCCTCATGGGAGTGGAGATGTGCATGGGAGATCACAAGGTAATTTGCGGTACTCGCAAAACGTGGTCCTCCGATAGATTTAGGTGGAAAATATCGCAGCTCTGAAGCTGGTTGGATCAAATCGGCGGGAGTGTATTGCATAAATTGCATTATTTTAAGAACAATTGGTAATGATTCTATAACAAGTTCATTGCTAACTAAATCCAACGAAACTTTCAGCAAGCCTGAAAGATTATTTTCAAATAAAACTATAGTTTATGTTAAAAACGGAACGAATGGGATTCGTTTGAAATGATTTGGTCCTGCTGGCGTTGATGAGGTGCAACAGAATAATGTGTTTATATTCTATGCAGCCAGTTTATTTGGACTTTCGCATGAGAGTTCTTGGCGATTAAAGGTACTTTTAGTTTGGAAATAGCTAGATAAACGTTACCGATAAAGTTTATTGTCCTTCATTTCGTACCCATATATTTTGTGATGCATCGTATATAGCGTCATAGAATTGTTTCGTTAATCGTTATAGCTAATTAGAGTTATCGGTACTATCGGTAAATTGACGTAAATATTGTATATCAAATGTCGTTTGTAGAGGTAGAATCTTTTAATATTAATAATTTTTTTTTTCATGGCCATTTCGTATTACGATTGATTGTTCATTGAATTGCTTGTATTAAATTCCCCCAAATTGAACAATAATCCTAGTATCCCGAGCCCCAACATGTTCTCCGTCCGATAAAATTCAACTAAGATATTCTACTAATATCTTTTTCGATTTTACAGCCAGTCTACTTAAAGCTCCAGCTGAAGGAAAAAGCAGGTACAAACGTATGTTGTGAACACGCACCTTTCGCTTGCTTGCCTGACAAATGCCAATGTTGCCAGATATACGCTTCGATAAAAATAAGTGTCGTAGACATGAGCGATTATAGCAAAACTAGTTTCCAAAAATTGCCCCACATAAACTCGCAGCTGCTGCACGAGCCCGTCACGCGGGACATGCTGTCGCACGAGCCCTACACGCCGGAGAGCGTCGATTCGCATTCGCAATCGCCCGTCCGGACGTTCGTCGACAGCCCGGCGGACGACACCAAGACCTCGGTGTCGCCGTTGCAGCTCAAAACACGGCTGGAGAGCATAATACGCATGGAGTTGAGCCGGTCGCCGAAGTGCTCCGCTTCCGAGAGCCTGGACGTCGACAAGCCGTCGCGGTCTAACGTTAATTGTTGCGCTATAATGTGATTTTTTTTTTGTAGTTTGATTTTTTTTATATATACGAATGCTGTAGAATTTTGACGCTTGCCGTGTAAGCACAATAGTTAAATAAGGAAGAAATACAGCGAAAATTGCGCGATTTTCGCTTCGATCTGGGACAGCGCATGCTTATTTGTACAGAGACGCTCAATTTCGCAATTTTTTTTTCTTGTATAACGTGAATTTAATATTATATACTGGTTTTTTTGTGATTGCATTATGTACATTATGTACATATTCTTATATCTTACAACCCCTCAAAGGTGTTAGCTTATACCCTCATTCTCAAGACGGTTTGTACTTTATTTCTCCAAAAAAGTTCAATTACATACCCCTTAAATTCACCGAGTGCAATACAAAAAAACCCGTATATTATATATCAAATTTACGCTGTATTTATTCCATCACAATTATTTTGTTTTTTTTTTATTTTCTGTAGAATATGTTGTGCACTGTGTTTCATAATTAGTCAGTGTTTGTCTAAAATATTTTCCCTGTTTGATCCAAACTAGGGCTACAGCTAGTCGAAAACGACGGCATCGCAACCAACAGTGCCAAGAAATTAGACGATATCATGGATTCAACAACAGTGACCCGGTATATTTATATACAAAATGTCGATAAACCCATTCAGATTTTTAGGGAAACGGCCGTTTAAATGCTGGCGTTATCATTCATTGGTTTGTTATACATATTTTTTTAGACTTTAAATGCCCAGTGAATCGCTATTAGTGATCTCACCAAAGTCTCGTTTTTGTTCTGCATATTTCACGACTATTTTTATTATTAATGTTGTTTTTTAAATGTTTAGAGAATCTACAATTTTCGTTATTAACAATCTGTTTGAATTTACTTAACTGGCGCAATTTAGAGATGTCCTTTTAAAGTACAAAGTAATGTTGAAGAATTTTGTTGTAATAAGATGTAAGAACGTTTTTTTTTTTAATTAAGGACACTATTTTAACGTGATCTTGAATGGGTTTTATCGAGCATTTTCATTTAGGTGAAAGTGCCCGATTATGGGATGGTTGCCTAATATGGGATATCTCAGTTTTGTCTAATATATTAAAAAATCTTTCATAACATGTTTGAAATTTTGGTTTTCTAGATATTAAAAACAAAAAATATTCCATAATACAGCACTTTGACCCACACAAATTTTGTTAAAAATTCCAAATATTTGTACATACAATATTTTATATGAATCATTTTTATTAACTTGTTATCTGACTGACTTATAAAAATGGTTTGGTGCTTTAAAGCAATTTGTTGCTCTATTATTTTAGTTCCTAAATTCTTTGAGTTTTCTGTTTATATATAAATTAAAGTTTTCTCTTTTTTAAAGGGTTTTATCACGAAGAGCTTAAACCATCGAAGTTTATGACACGCGGCTTAAGCTCATCGCAGGACACCCTGTATAATATATAGATGTTTAGATACGACGGGGCGTTCATGCAATAAATTTGGTATTTATTCATTGTAATACTGTTTGAATCTCGAACGCCTTGTTAAATAAATGTTCAGTGTTCTCTTATTGATATTTATGTAAGCTATATTCCAAAAAGCGTTCGAACCGGTTCTGTTAAATTAACTGTTTGCGCAAAACCATCAGAAACCGGTTAGAACGCTTATGCATTATCTAGCTTATACGTAAATGTGCATATATGACAGTGTTTTAAATTTTTTTAAGTACTTACATAATTAAAATATATTCCTTTTTAAGGAATTGAGAACTATTATAAAATGGATGTACTAGTCAAGTATACTTAAAAGAGTTTTTTATTTACAAACTAGCAGGTTGCCCGAGCGGAGTGAGGAAGGTTTTTTAGGTTTTTTTAAATGCAGTTAGACTTGTGACATTTTAGGTCTCGTTAATTAATGTCCCTTCTATATTAATTTTATATTGGTGATTTTTTTTAGTATATTTACGGTCCCCTTGGAGACTGAAAAATACACAAATCTAATTACATTCAAATTTTATGTCTAGAAATCCTTGGTTTTTTCCTCTTCATTCCTTTGTTCCATTTTTTATCCTTTCTTATTCATTTAACCCTAACTTAAATCCATCCAAGTTTCTTTTAATGTATAATTTTCTTTTTATTGTCGGGCCCGCTGGTAATATTTATATATCTTTTATTTATATAATATACAATTTTTAATAAACACTATAAATGTTTGTAAAAAACTTTTAGGCCAAAATATATAAGAAAGTCATAAAATTATTAATGTAATTTTTATACACAGTTATTACTTCTCTAACTACTTTTGCTACTTAAAACTTTTTCGAATCGTAATGGTGTGAATAAAGTAAATTTTTTCAAAGCTCAGGGATATGAAAAAATTGTATAATTACGTATTAAATTTTATTTGTTGGTATTTACATTAACAGAAGTTTTGACAAACTTAGTGAAGTTGGAAATCGAGCGGGAGGTTACATTAAAAAAAGCTTTGAAAAAATCAATTAAACCAGGCCTTGTTATATACTAGTGTATGAGTATGTAATATGTATTTTTGTTAGTATGCGAAAATGGAAGTGCGAGTAGTTTCCTAAATAAAAAACTAAATGTTACAAGAAAATACATCTTACATGTTCATAGAGAATTTGGAGGAAACAAGTCCTTTAGTAATTCAACTACTGAAGTTGACACAAAAAAAGAATAATTCAGTATCCTAAAATTAAAAGAAACAATTAACCAACCCTCTCGTGATGCCTACAGAGTCAAACACAAAATATTTTTGGCTTTGAAATTCAGTCATTACTGATTTTTATATTACATATTTACTTTTAAACATACTATTGAAATGTGTTGTCTAAAATACTTAAACAATCTTAAAAAAATGTCATAGAACCAAAGAATGTATGTGTAATAATAGTGATGCAATTAAAATGACATAAAGAAAATTGTTGAATTTTCTTAAGGGTAATATAAAAAAAATATTGCAAAAAGTATAATATCTACAAAAACAATTTTCCTCACATCATTAAATAAATATCAGTCAAAGATATGTCAAAAATAATTTATTTATACCTAAAAACATACCCTCTTTATTTATTTCCCTTTATACGCATCAAACCTATTATATAAAAAATATGACCTGAAAACCACAAACATCCATCTGCCTTGAAGGATTTTTTTTACAAAATACGTATCTTTTTCCCATTGAAAACAAAATTGATATAAATGGCGATTTGAATTTGAACAACATATCTAATAAAATCTTTTCCTACTCTTTTCCTGCCGTTTTTGATAGAACATTATGCCCAGCACAACGAATGTGACAACCGCTATGCTACCGAGTAACATAAGAAAGAATATTTTAATACCAGACATACCAGGCTTCGGGTCTTCAACGTGCTCTCGTGGCGCTTCGAAATAAGACGCCGACGGGATTATTTTGGAACGATCTTCAGCGGCATCGACCTGAAAAAATATTAACTTTGGATAATAACAAAATTCATATTAGATGTATAAATTAATAAAAATAAATGATATTGCAAAATGGAATTAACGTAAATATTATTAGATTATATGCTGTACAAATAAGCAATTTACTCACATCGTTGTCCAAATCCAATTCAAAAAATCTAACGGACATGACATCGTGATTGTCGGACAAATCACCAGTCGTAGCTGATACACCTATGTAATACCCAGTCGGCAGCCGTACTTCTTTAACTTGGAAGCATTCTTTCCATGCAGCTTTATTTTCTAAATCGGTAGATACTGCAACAAGAAACGTCAATTAAAATAAATTTAAATATAAAATGTTAACGCATCGTTACCTGTTAAAACATCTCTCTCGTATTTAACTGATATATGAGTATCGTGATCGAAATTCCTAAATTTGGCCTCACAACCAGCTAATTGAGTATGCGTACCATCCCTATCGTGATCATAAGATAAACTACCATTATTTACCATAGCAGAAATGTAAGGGTGTTGATGCTGAAATTCAAAATTATACAATTAATTTCGCACTATACATTCAACCTGAAACTTACATTATGTGGACCATTGTGGTTACTGTAAGTATCCAAAATAATCGCTAAACCTTGGAAAAGATCTTTACTACCGAAGACCGGTCCATCGATGAGATTATCTTTAGCATACCATATGGCAAACCCATCGCCGAATAAATCTTTACCTTTCCCATGTACTTTAAAATGAACTTGAACGTCCCAATTGCGACTAGTCACAGGCTATAAAAGGTTTTTTTTAAAAGTGTGTAAATAGAATTGATTGTGTGCTTTATCAGTTACAAGGTTCATTGGTACTTACAACTGTATTCCAAATGGTACCTCTTTTGCTTTGAGAATCATCGGTAAGGCGAATATAATTTGGCGTGACTATAGTCGTTCCGGTGAAATGCCAGAAAGGTATATCTATTCCTGATCCTGGAGGGATAAAAAATATAATTAAATGAATAGATACTTTTTTATAACCTCAAAGTACTTACCATAGTAAGGTTTTATTAGGGAATGCTCCCTTTTCATAAAGTCCCTTGTGTTCCATTGTGACTGGCCACTTACTAAATGTATAAAGCATATAAATAATTGGATAATATTGATGTAATATAACATTTTTTATATAATAAATCGACTAGCAAACCGACAATCAAACGACTAAATAACAATTAAACTGACAAATCATATTTTTTTGATGTCATTACTGTCAATGTCATCCTTCAATGATTGGCCTTTTATTATTCTGTAATATTAATAGGTTTAAATTTAAAAAGAAGAAACGTTCCGAATAACAGTAACAATTTTTCAGTCGACATCTCTACTTCTTCATCTTTTTTTAATAAGATTGTTTTTGTGGTTATTCATTCTGGTGGTTATCTTTTTTTCATGATGAAACAAAAACAATAATATACTTTATCCCTTTCGAGCATATTTGGCTATTAAAAAATGAATGCGGATTTTAAAAATTTAATTATAAAAAATTTCGTGGAATTAATGCAAAATTGCGATGTGGATAAATTAAAAGAACCATTAATTCGCAGAAAACTGTTTACCCCTCAAGAAATAGACAAAATATTCCAGGTAACTATCAAAATAACTAACTTATACCCTACTAACTACAAACTACTAGCCTATAAAAAATTGAACCCCAATTAAAAACATTGTTTCCTAATTTCTATTAGTCTAAAGATGACCGCCACAACAAGCGACTATTCTTCTTCGAAATCCAAGAGAAACCCAACGCTTTCAGCTCCCTGGTGGACGCCCTACACGAAACTAGTCAAACCGATATTATACACTTACTCATACCACGAGGAGTGAAGGTCTTCAACAATCCAGTATGGAACAACAACGATGAGCAGTCCTATCTAGCCTATGTCCCTGTAAACTCCTCCTCGACTGCCCTCGATATTAAAATCCGTTACTCGACAGATTTCATGGACACCCCGGAATACAACGGTGCAATAGAATTCTACAGCTCGAAATCTAAAAAAAGGGGACGGGCTTTGATCATCAACAACTACGATTTCGAAGGGGACGAATACAGAAACGGGGCCGAAGTCGATGACAAAAATCTGAGGGAATTGTTCAATCGATTAGGGGGTTGGGATGTTGATCATCACTGCAATATAACGGCTGCGGTATGGTAAGATTGCAAAAAAAAGTGCGTTATTTATTCTTATTTCGTTTTAGCAAATGGGGGAGGTTATTAAAAAGTTTGCCAACAATAAAACGAATATATTGTATGATATTTGTTTCGTCATCATTATGAGTCATGGCGCAAAAATGGATAACGATACTATCATACATGGAATAAAGCGGGCTGATTACATTTCCGTTTCTGAAATACACAAGATCTTTTCCAATGAACAATGCATACATTGGGCTTCAAAACCTAAAATATTGACGTTCTCCGTATGCAGGTAATTGATATTTTTGCTGCAACTTATAATTGAATATCCTAATTTAATTATTCCAGTCTTCCCATTCCCCAATTTCCTACTGATCCACGTTTATCCAAGGTGAGCCCTTCCAATACATCTCCAACATCCACGAGGGATGTTACCAAAGCTCTAATTAAATTACGCAAAACTTAATAAGCAATGTTATTGGGGACAGGCAAGTCTTGACTTGTTTATGCAACTATTCAGCGCAACATTTGTAACCATGAAAACAGAGAAAATTCTCAAAGAGCAATGATCCATCCATCGATAAACAGTACTTTTGGATTCTGTAGACTCAACAAGTACTCTTTGCAGACTCTGAATAATTTCTGATGCTTACGAAGAAATTATTGTTCTTTGAGATTTTACAGTCTTCCATGGTTACAAATGTTGCACTGAATAGTTGCACAAACATGTCTGTCATCTAACATTGCCAGTAAGTTCTCCATATTTTTAATTAGAGCACAATTCCCAGAACTTTGGAAACATCCCTTGTATAATACTTTGATACATAAATCACAATATTATCTTTAAAATTCATACTTCAGAGGTCAAGATTTACACTTACCTGTGATCCAAAGGACAGAAAGTGACTCTTTACAACGTACAAATACTGCTCATTTAAGGCGAGCCGAAGAAGACACGCTAACTTGCTATTCTACAATATCCGGTAAGAATTGTTAGAACATTTTCACACGCTGCAATATACTGCAACTAATAAAAATTTATTTTATGCATATTAACAATTTTCACACTACTGCAATATATGGATCCACTTAGAATTAGGTAAAAACCTGCATCAATTTACATGGGTTTCTTCTGGTCATATTTTATCGTACAATGTATGTAGCACAGATTGCCTCGCTGCAATAAAAATTATTGCCTCTCATACAACTGAAAACTACGCATTTTAACTGCAATGCAATATTGCAACAATTTATTGTTGCAGTATATTGCAGCTTGTGAAAACGCTGTTACATGTAACGATCTGCAAGGGAATTTTATTATTAATTTCAGGTTACAAAGCGCATAGGGATTTCTACAGAGGTTCTTGGTATATACAGCTGCTGTGCCAAACTTTCATGAATCACGCCTGCGAGTACCCGGTGGATACGTTGATGATGAAAGTGGATCAGGGTTTGAAATTGATAGAATCTGAAAAGGGTTCGGTACAAACGGCTGAATATACGAACAGAGGTTTCAAAAGGTTGTACTTGCATCCCGGGATATATTTCGAAGATAATCAAATCAAGCGGTATTTCGACAATTGATTTTTTTTAAAGACAAATAATACACGTTCATGTGATTTTTTTAACAAAAAAAATATTTATAGAAATATATGTATTTACATTTTTTTACGAAGCTATAGTTTAGAATATTGTGTTTTGTTTGTTTTGATTCAAATAAGAAGTAAATTCATTAATATTAAATGACACAAAATACATGAGTTACGATTAAAATTTTATAATAACAATTACATTAATAAGAAAATTGATATACATAATAAAAAAAAACTTCTTAATGCAATTTAATATCAAATAAATTACAAACTTACTTCTTATTTTGTGTAATCGACTATATTTTAACTTCACAATTATTTATAAGGCACTATGTAATTAAGAGAACATTTCTGTTTTATTATGAAGCAGCCTAAGCGTCTTTTTTAATCTAATCGAATGGAAGAATCTAATATTTTTAAATAGTGTAAAAATACAAATTTGGAATGGATGTATTCTTATAATTTTATATAATATATCAAATATGTATATAAAAAAATATTTTTTAAACATTAAGCTGCGTATCATTTACAAAAAGTGCAGACATCAATAAAATGGAAGATCTCTCGTAAATATCTCTGTAAAGTCACTTAAAAAATATTATACCTTTTCTTATTTACACGTAAAAATATTTACAAAATAAACCTGTTAATTTCAGAGGAAAAAACACCGAATTAAAAATTGCTTCCGACAAATTTATCACAAATCTCAAAAATCAATCTCTTCATAATTTCTTCGTGCGAAATTTGATCGTAACTGGTAAAAAGTATCTCAACGTATTTACACCCCTACATACAATTTTTTAAAAACGATTATAAAAAATATTACAAAAACTGTATAATTCATTAAATTACGAAATAATAGCTCGGCGAACTCGAGACATCAAGCTGCGAAAAATATCTTTGGTTTTGCGGAATCGAGGGCGATTATTAGCGAATTTTCGCTTATAGATCGTTCTTTCAAAAATTGGAAAAGCACCATTCAACGCGGCGATTGAACGTACGTAGAAAAACCACCCTCGACAAATGAGATTATATTAATTTTTTGGTCTATCTCGATATGTTTCAATACGAATACGACTTATTTCTCCATTATCATGTAAGCCATTTCAACGTTATCACGATTATGTAATCGTTGTTGGATAACCAACGTGGCGCAATATAATTATTTCTATAAAGAAGCAGATGTTAGCAAAGTTATCGCCTCAACTGCAACGAAACGCAACGGAAAGTAAATAATTATATCAAAATCTTACGCGATTCTCAATCGCACAAGATTCGAATTGTTCAGTTTGCATCGCTAAAACCTGCTCCCGATTTTTCGTTTCTTTATAGATTCAGCAAGAGGTTCAAAGGTTGCTCTGTAGACGAGCCTACAACTCGAATTACATTACACTAACCGTCGCAGACCTAATACGTAACTCAGTCAGTCTTCGAAAACTCCATGTGCCTCTCAACACAGCCTGTAGAATGCCAAAAACGTTATCGTTATTGCAGCATCAAAATCTCCAAGTTCCTGTGCAGGATCGTGTCCTTCACCGAATTGAACACCACTTTGATGTTCTCGGTGTCTATGGCAGTGGTGAAATGGTGGTACAACGGCTTCTTCGGGTCCTGCTTCACGCTCGTGAACATCTTCAGGATGAAATTTTGCACGTCCTGCAACGAATGCGGATTGCCGGCGAACTGGGGAAAGTACCAACGGATGTTGGTCTCCGCATTCGCTACCTAAATAACACAATATTAGTTGAATGTACTGCATGAGGACTATACTTCACTGGTAGGCGGAGCAGGAAAGGTGCAGGTACCTCAGGAAACTTAGTCTTCAGAGAGATGGTACTGGACAAGTTCATTGATTCTTTTTTAAAGACTAGGTTAAATGGTTATAGAGGGCTAATAGACTTGTAGAAGATTTACAATGGGCCTTTAGAGGAGGTTATTTCTACAAGTCATTACTGAACAGGAAAGGTGGAGGTACATCAGGAAAGCTTAGTCTTCTGAGTTATACGATACTGGGCACATCCATTCTTATTTAAAGACTAAGTTGAATATATGTACACGATTCATGGATGCTAATCCATGGTCTAAGAAAGTCACAGTGCTGAACTATAACCCATCTGAGTACAGAGTAAAAGCGCTTACCTTTCTCTCCAACAAATCGTGCTTGTTCAAAAACAATATAATGGAGATGCCGTTGAAAATTTTATTGTTAATAATCGTATCGAAGATGTCTTTGGCCTCTTCCAGTCTGTTGGTCTTCCTGTCCTCGAGCAGCACCTGGTCGAATTCCGACGAGGAGACGAGGAACAGGATTGAAGTCACCGAGTTGAAGCATTGGTACCATTTCTGCCGCTGCGACCGCTGCCCGCCGACGTCCACGAATATGAACGGTATGCCGTTGATGGGCACCACGCACTCCGTGATGCCCTTCGTGGCCTTCCTGCAGTGCAGGATGTCCCTGTTGGTGGGGCTGTAGTCCGGCCGCGATATCCTCTCCAAGTTGTCCAGGAAGTATTCCACGGAGTCGCTCTGGAAATGTTTTACGACGCCGTTTAATCGACCTAATTATTTTAACGGCGATAATAAAAGTCTTAGGAATTATCTCGTTATGTAAATAGAACGAAGTATTTCGATGTGACGCCCTTGAATTTCGGATGTTTTACGGCGTATCGCGCGTTTCAATGGAATCGTTTTAATGTTTTGAGAAGACTTTACTGGCGAATCTGTTCTAGGTATTGGCGGTAAATAAAGGATAATTGTATACACGCTTCCACCTACGAAAAATATACTATACTACGTGCATTTCTAAATTTAAACGGGTGATGGCCATTAATTATAATATTGACATCATTGCGGTTTTTAATCGCGTCGGATTTGTATAGGAAAACGCGAGTCGAACGCTAAACAAAACTGGATGTTGACAAAAAAAATTAATCGAGTAAATTTTCGAAATTCTTCAAATCGCAAACATAGCATGTTACCTAAACGAGGACATTCATGTATTTGGCATCGTTTTGATTCTAATGAACCGGACTCGACAAATTTTGAGGAGTTTCACAAATTTAAAGAATATGCTGTGACTCTCTTTTCATCCAAATATTAGTCAACAGAGAATTCTGGAAAGACTTACAGAGGTGTGAAAAGTTTTGAAAAACAGTACAGTCACCTGGATGGTGCTAAATGATCTAGAAAAAATTGCAAAAAATATAGAAATCTGGAATGATTAGACCTCTAGTGATCAGGAATATATTAGAGATGTTTAGAGACACTTTATACAGTTATTTCCATGCAATATTTACATAGATGAATTAATACTCTCAAATGTTTGCATAAATTTCAAGGTAATATTTACGTTTGGATTATCCTATGAACTGAAATCGATAAAGAAACAACTACTGATAAGGTATCTAGAATATTTCAAATCCTCATAATGCCATAGAGAAGCCTGGAAAGGTTTACAAAGACTGGGAAAGTGCTAAAGAGAATTACTGTCATCTGGACGGTCTTTAAAGGGACCGGGAAAAATTACAAAAACCTACAGAAATCTGGAATGATTATAGGAACTCTAGTGATCAGGAATGCATTATAGAAGATTGATCTGGAATAATTTAAATTGTCACAACGCTATAGAGAAACTTGGAAAGACTTACAAGGGCCGATAAACTTTTGACGAGAATTGCAGTGATCTGGACAGTGTTAAAACGACTGGAAAAAATTGTATAAACCTACAGAAATCTGGAATAATTAGAACTCGTGTGATCAGGAATGTATTAGATAAATTTAAAGATTTTGATACAGTTGTTTCTATGCAGTATTTACAGAGATGAGTTAAGTGTTTGTATAAATTTCAGGGTGATATTTTTTTGTTTGGATTAAAATTCACAATTTGTCCTGTGAACAGAAATCGATAAAGAAACGACTACTGATAAGGTATCTAGAATAATTTAAATCGTCGGTAATAAATTTTAAGTAGCAGGCGTTGCGATAATGGTCGGGATTTCCACAAACATCTTTTTCTATTCGCCAGATATGGCAAATATTTTCGACGTGAAATTGAATATTTGTTTAAAAAAAAAACGTCGGTAGAAACGCGGAAAAGCGCCTTTTCTGCATTTATGAATGAGCCAGCTAATCGTTTCCACGTCGATTAATAACAGTAGAAATGCATTCGGAATTCGTGGCGTTCCTTCGAATAATAAATTTATAGAATTAATTATAACAAATATAGACGATTTATTTAAATTGCCGAGCGAGTTCAAGGCGCTCTCGGGTCGTTTGCAAGGTGAAAATTTAGGTTTTAATTTCCCCGTTATAAGTATTTTATACAAATGATTCATTTAAGTGCTTTCACTTGCAAAATAAAATTAGTCATCTCGACACAAATTGTATTCCAAAGAGGATATTATAATTCCGCGTTCAAACAATGAATAGCAGATAGGTCAATGAAGTGTTAACTTTCGTGAAGAAATAGCACTTCACATATTGAAATTGTTGTGTATCAATATAGAGAAATAATTCTCTGCAACGTACACGTCACGGTACGCGATTGTATTAATGTCAACAAACTTTAACATTCTTGTAAAATAATACCTGGGTATACGTTATAAAATTCATATTTCCGAAGGAAAAAAAAAACCGGAGTAAAATTATACTCGGATACAAAACGTTGCGAAAAAACGATTTGCTTTTAACAACGAAATTAGTTCATAATTTACGATAGCGGCGACGAGTCTTTATTGCCTGCGTTATGTAAGATCACGTTTATGATGGAAATTATTCAGTAGATAAATTAAGATAGATTAGTACTTCCTTTGAGCTTCATTACGCTGTGCACTTACCTACTTATTTACAATGTGAAATTTTTAAGACTGGATTCGCGTAGGCCCGTCTAAAATTACGTTTGATTCGAATGGGCTGGAGGAATATTAGGATAGATTATCATTAAAGTACCTTGGAAAGTCTTCTATACTGTCCTGATTATTGATGTAATTCCTCATGTTATGAAGATATTAATGAATATTTTTAAGAGTTGTTGAAGTACTTTCAAGATTTTCATCGGATATCTTTGCATATTCGGGAAGACTTCCTTTGAAGAATTTTGCTTTATAGTACAAAATTTATAGGTATTTCTATACAAGTAATTGTTTATGGATTGTACATTTAGGTAATATCGCTGCTAGATTACTTTTTATAGTATTGTATAGTACATTTTATAGTACTATTTTTGAGGAACTAACATTACTAATCTTATTAAATACAACCATTATGTAACGAAGGAAGAACAATAATTAAGCGATTAAAGCGTTAAAATGAATTAAATATTAACCGAATAAATCAAAACTTGCAATACTATTGAATTAACATGAAAAAATGTTAATATAACTGGATAACAATTGCAAGCATGAATGTTGAAAAGGAACGAAATAAATTATTAACGAAGCAACCGAAAGTGACTTAACTTATTAAATATGTACCAAGCAAAGACAATGCATGATAAAAAGGAGTTAATAATATTATTAGTCTAGTAAATAACAATTAGATACTTACCAATTGAAATTCTCGTCGTCTTTCGTAAGCCCTTTTGATACCGGAATCCCTCCACAATTTGTACAACAAAGGGCTAAACTGACTAAAGTTCTTGGCTTCCAGCACCGCGTGATTGTCGAATTCGAGTAACTTTTTGGCGTATTCGACGTTAGCACTGTCCCCCCACGGTATGTTTAACTTGTCCCTAGCATCGGCGAGCACCTGCATCCCCTTCACGAGGTTCTGGTAAATCACTTGTTGGTACTCGTTGATGAGGTTGTTTTCGAATTTGATGCCGTGAATGATCCGCATTTGTTTGAGAAAAGTGCTCTTCCCACTCTCGCCAGCACCCAACAAGAGGAGTTTGACCTGTCTTTTCATCACTTGCCTATCTTTCTTGATCATCTTGTCGATTTCCCGGCTCTTGTAGCGCTGCTCCAGCTCGTCGGGGCTGAATTTGAAACGTAAACAACACAAACAAGACCACATTAATGTGGACATTTTCGACGAAATTTTTATTCTTATCGAAAACTCATCGCACTACATACTTATTCGAGTTCAGTTAGTTTACTAAATTAGAATGTACGGCGCAAGCGCGACGAATGTTTGACGTTTTGACGTTGACAAATAGAGTTTGTTCGTTTGTTGAGTTCCGTAGAATAGAGATGGGTTCGTTTCAAATTCGGAGCGCTGTAATCGGTTCCACAATCAAAAAATCAAAACTACATTCAGTAAAAAAACAAAATGCCCAAGATTTTAATATTACAGAGAAAGTTCTACTTTACAAAATGTGCGCTTTATACAATGTTTACAAACATTTTATTACTTAAGAGTAAAATTATCCTTCGTCGACGTGCTACTTACTCTTTGTGCCTAGAAGATGGAACCGTGTTTTTCGAGTGCTTCTTCTTTTTCTTCTTCGCCTTGTTTATTTTCTTGGCCGTAGTGATTTTTTCTTTGCGATGTTTCTTGCCCTTCGTTTGCGTGGTTGCCGTCCTGCTGGTCGTCGATGTCATGGCGTTTGAAAAATGCGTCTTGTCGAAATTTAAATCGCTCGTTCCGATCCCCTTGTGTTCTCTCGAATCGGATTTTTTATCCCTTTCAATAGCTCGTTTAAGGGATTCCAAAGTCGATTGACGGGGCTCAAACGTCTAAAATTAATAACACAATTTACAAAAAACAGAAACGTCAAATTTGACGTTTCATTAGCTGCAATGTTGCCAAATGTCGTTTAAAATTTATAATGAGAAGATTAAAAAAATGTGTACTTTACAGGAGCATGATAAGAAAATGTTTTTACCGGTTTTTCGCGCTGTTCCCATGTAATATTAGCCAAATGCTGGCGCATCGCTTTCAATTCGTTTAGTCTATCTCCGGATAGTTTTGTGTTTACGCAATTCAACGGGTTTTCCTATAAACAATTTAATATTGATCCGAAAATTTTGAACAGATTAAATTTTAAATACTTTTTTTGGTGATAGGTGCGCATTTAAATCAACATTAGGGTGAATGGTTGACGATAGGTAAACGTTCTCCCCGGATCTCGTTTGCATGTGACTATCTAATCTCATTACCTAAAATTCGAAAAATACTAGAAATTATAATGTTAAAAATAAAAATTTCACACTAACGCTTATTGCAGGAGGGGCCACCACGACTGTGTTTGTTAACGTGGTTTTATTATTTCTATTCGATGAATTGGACGTTCTGAATTTGCTCTGAAATGTTTAAAAATTACTTTTATCGACTGTCGCGTGGATAATTCTTAAATTTACCAACATCTGCACTGGCCTGCTTGCTCGGCTTCCGTTTCGATTTGAACCGTTCGGTAATTGCGTGGAATTTATTGTAATCGAATGTGTTAATCAGAGGCATTTTTATGATTTGGGGTCCGAAATTGCCATATAGTAGATTGATCGATCTTTCGCATTGTCATTCACGTGCCATTTGCCAATATTAACATCCTTCATTTCTAAAACACCCTGTATATAACAAACTGGAGTTACTGCTTGTACTACTTCCACCAGGCCATAGAACAAAAAGAAGATAAAATTATTGACAGTTGACATTGACAACAAATGCTACCAATTCGTGTAATTTGACTTTGGCAGAAGAAAAACAATTTTGTAAATAATAAAATGTATAAAATATTATTTTTATTGTAATTAATTAATTAATCGAAAATATTTGAATAAGAATGGCTACTCAGGAAAAGCTGCAAAAATCGTTGGATGGTTTGAAGAATTTGTCCAAATCAACAAAAAATTCCGCGGATATTTCCAAGTATTTATTTACATTAATTTTATTTACTTAAGTACTTAAAATATCATTTTTAGGAAAAAAGAAAAATTGCAATATTGCTACACGATAACCGAGGCTATTGCAAATCCTGCAATAAAAGTATCATCTAATTTTCACGTTTTACTAGGCAGTACTGTTGAAGTATTTTTATTATTATGCGATGATGATGATCCTGATATTAGAATGACGAGCGAGGAATGCCTCAACAGAATAATACGAGTAATTGCTACAATAATGACCTCTTATCTTTTCACAAGAAAATCTTTTTTTAGTCCTCAAATGGGTACATCGGTAAAATACAAATAGAATTACATAAAGAAATAAAGAAGAACGGTTCGGCTCGACCCCTACGAATTGCTTTGGGACTATTCTCTCTATTGGCGCATAACATTAGACCCCATAAAGGAAAGCCTTATGTGGCAAATTTGTTTCCTAGTTTAATTAAAATAGCAGGACGGAAAGAAGAGCTGGTACACGAAACTTTAGCCAATAGTTTACCGAAGATTATGAAAGCATTGGGTTGTTTTACAACAGAAAATGAAATCAAGGTAAAATTATTTAGTACATAATTCTTGTAATAATTCATGTAATTATCACATTCTTTCAGGCTTTACTGAAAGCATTTTTAGTAAATGTTTCCAATGACTCATCAGTTATTAGAAGAACCACAACAAATTGCATACTTAGTATTTGTACAAATTGTAAAAACCCATCTGTTTTTATGATGTACTGTTTCAACAATCTTCTAGGTAAACATAATTAAATTAAATGTAATTATAACACATAAAAATATTTATTTGCAGATATACTCGTCCCTGTAAATGCAGAACACTTTACATCCCAAATCTTAGGAGTACTATCGTGCATTAAAATTTTAATTCCAAGCATTTTTTCATTCAATATAGACACTAATTTTCTCGTAAAAAATAATATGCAAGAAAAGCTACTTCAGATTTTCGAACTATGTTTGTACTACACGTCCCATAAAGACCACAACATAGCTAACATCAGCTTGGAATTGCTAAAAGTGATATTAGAATGCCCTTCGGAGGGTCTCAGAAAACAGTTGTTAATTGCCAAAGGCCTCGGATCACACCGGATATTCTCAATAGATAAATCCAGAATTTTAAGCAACAGATCATCTAGTAAGATCTAAGATATATAACTCTTTATATTTGATTAAATTGAATTTATAGGTCAGCTCAGCGTTGCTACTACAACGAATACAGACGACAATCTATTCTCCGATTCCGATTTGACTGAAACCTTGCAGTCCGATGTGGAAAAATGGATAGACGATTCCAAGTTTTCCATGATGAACATCGGGTTCGCGAAAACCAAAGAGAAATCCCAATCGCTCGATAAAATGAACAGATTCGATGGGGATATGACGAAAAATTCGGATTTCGGCTACGGGGAATCGAACAAATTCAATAAAGACGGCTTCATGGGGAAGAAAAAGGCGCACAGCATCGAAAAAACTTTAGACATTATGGATTACAGCGAACATTCATCGGAAAATAGCTACAACGAAGTCGATGAAAAGAGTTCGAATATAGATGAAGCTATTAGGGAGATTGAAATAGGAAACATCTTGGACGAAGTACCTGTTGAATACTGCATACGGCTGATATCCAAGCAATTTTTACTCGACGGCTCTGGGAGTTACATTTCGGAAAAAAAAGTCAGGGTATCGGTTAAATTTTTAGCGTTATCCTGCCTTTCTACTCTATTGGGGTTGCAACCCAGTGGAATTTTCATGCATTTAGATAAGACTTATTGTCTGAATTCGAAGAAGGTGTCCAATCAAAGGATATGCGACGTTCTATTGTACAGGAATCACCCTGACCCGCAGCTACGGGGGGCTGTTCGAAGCATGTTGGGGCATTTTTTTAAAGTAGTGTCCAATCTTTGCGAGGAGCCGTACGATAAATGGCTGGATGTTAAAAGCGGCGTTGAACTGAATAATGATTCATTCAAGTCGCAAAATCTTGTTAAAATTTTCATAGAAGTGAGTAATAGTATTTTTGAATGTATAGTTTTTAAATATTATTTTGTAGGGTTTAAATGACGAATCTGCTACTTGTGTAAGACAAACTCTATTAGCCCTTGATATTAATTTGAGATATTTACTGGAGTCCCAACAGAGTAATCTTGTGATGTCTGTTTTGAATATTTTACCGCAGCTATCATCGAATCCTTATTGGCTCGTTAAGGTAATTATTACACAAAGTTATACATTTTTTGACTAAATAGCACTTTTGTAGGTATCTTTGTGCGAACTGGTTTCAAAAATTGATTACATTACAGTATATTATGTCACAGAAAATAATGATTTTCAACAAAAAGTATTACATAACATATTATTCTCCTTGCTGAATGATACAGATCAAAGAGTAAGGACTTCTGCAGCTACTGCTATTGTGAAGTAAATATGAAAAAAAAATGTTTATATTAGTATTTTTACTTACTTGTTTTTAGGATAATTCCACGATTATTTTATCCGGAATACCTCAATGAGGAAACGCTGATTTCAAAAGCTATTTTGGACGTTAAAAAAATATCAAGAAGTTGTAAATACAGCGAATTAGATACCAACATTAACAAAAAACATTTCATCAACCATATGCCTTTTCCATTTAATAACATATCGGTAAATCCCTGCAAGCAAATCGATTTTTCTTTGTCGAAAATCGTCTCGAAATTATCAAATTTCGTTTTAACAGCGGTTTCCAAAGATTTCTTGGTAAGATTCTAGTAAAAAATACTAATTTATCGAAATATATTGTGAATTATATTATAGAGCGGATGCGTGGAAGCTTTATGTTTACTAGCCGGTAAATATCCGTGTACTGTTTACAAAAATAGTTGGACTACCATGGATTTCCTGATATGCGAGGAATTAAAAACGCCTGATTTATTGAAATTTAGCTTGAATTTTCTAACGAATTCCTCTCAAGTATACGGACTACAAACACATATAGATCTCTTGAAATTAACCACCAATTTATACGCAGGTAAAATCTGCATAATAACTGATGTTTATCGAACAAAACTACAACAATTTAAATATTTCAGGCAATTCTTTAGCAATATTAAAACCCTCAAACCCCGAAGAAACCACTTCCTCTTGGTCTATGTACAGTAACACAGCATTCGCTCTTATCTCCGACGATTTTCTGCACCACACCATTAAACTATTGTGCATATTCCATCACATACTGAACGATTTAACGCCTGTGCACCCGCACGCCAAGCCCATTCTGCCCAATTTGCCCAACACCGCGAATCTGTCGCCCTTGAAGCGCAGAAAAAGCGATCTGGACAAAAAATCGTTGAGCTTGAAGCTGGACAAGGACGAGAAAGTGGAGAAAAAAGACATCAAAATGAATTATTTGGGCTTGTTCGTGCAATCCGATCACTACATGAAGATTTACGAAACGATTAAAGCCTCGTTCGTAAATTATAAGGTTATTATCAAGTAACTAGTAGGTGATTTTATGTTAAATTGTTAAATTGTAGATCTCCTTAGACGTTGCATCTTCCAAGACGTTTCTCGATTTGCTGAATTTAACTTTAAAAGCCCTTTCTGTAATATTAGAGGTGGGGAGTTTGGCGGAGTTCGAGAGGCTCGCAGAGGAAATTTTAGGGTATTTCAGATCGACTTTCGTCGTCGATGCGCCCGCTACCGTCGAATGCGTTCAACAGTTGTTGAAGTGCCTGTTTGGCACTAATTTAACGGCGAACATCGCCGAATTTCCGTTGACGAAGCGAGACGAAAAGGTTAAAATTACCTCGCGTTATCTCCGATTAGTCGTGTTAATTTTTGGTGGATTCTAGAATCGCAGCGATGGGTTTTTCCGAAACGTGTTTCAAAGGCCTCTCAACGACGTTTCCCTGTTTTTCCGAGTGTTCGGCAACGTGAGCAGGCACGATTTCGTCGATGACGGTTCCGTGATAGGTTTCTTGCACCGGACGAAGGCTAAAAGGCGCTCCGTCATTTTGACCAGAACCTCCGATAAAATCCTGGCCAATTACATTAGGATATTCGAACCTATGGTCATCAAGTCGCTGAAAGTAATTACTTCGTAATCATTTTATAAATTAGTTTACTGAGTTAACGAGTTTTAGCAATATACGATAACGAGTAGCGTGGATCTCCAATGCCAAGTACTCCAATTACTGAGCCAGCTTATACAGCTCCGAGTGAATTATTGTTTGCTCGATTCCGAACAAGTTTTCATCGGATTCGTCCTAAAGCAGTTCGAGTTCATAGAAGAAGGACAAATACCGTAAGTAACAGGACGAAAAGACACAAAAACTACTCGTAAACTTGAAAGCAAAAATTGCTGTGAATCATTTAGAACTACCTAGAATGCCTATCTAGAATGCTCCAGAACTATTTAGAACGCTCCAGAATCAACTAGAACTGTCTAGAATTATTTGGAACGCTCCATAATCATGTAGAAATGTCCATGAATCATTTAGATTGGTACAGAACCCTTTAGAATAGAACTACCAAGCAGTATTTAGAACGATCCAGAATAATTTAGAACTGCCTATGACCATTTAGAACGCCGTATAACTTTATGAGCCATCTTCTTTATACTTTTCTTATAGGTCGGTGGAAAGATTGATTCCGAAGATTTTCCAATTTCTGGTGCAGCTGTCGTACAGTAAGCAGCATTCGAAATCGATAATAGGAGTGCCGAAAATCATTCAATTGTGCGACGGTTTGATGGCCAGCGGTCAGCCGGCAGCCACTCATTGCATACCAGCGTTGGAGCCCATAGTCGAAGACATTTTCCTCACCAGAAATAAAGCCAACACCATAGATTACAAGGAATTGGAAACGACGAGAGAAGCGAGTAGAATATCACTTACGCCTTATTCAGTTTTTATTATCGATTTATTTCAGGTGGTTCTCAGTATGCTGCTGAGATTGTGCGAAAACACTAAAGTATTGGACCTCGTCAGTTTGATACTAGAAGAGAGCAACATCGAAAAATGGTACGAATGGTCGAATATGGTGTTCCAAGTTATATTGCCGATGTTGAAACAGAACAAATTAAAATTGGACAATGCGGATGCTCTGGTAGCCGTGAAAAGGTTCATTTTAGCTTTGAACCCCGACGTGTTCAAACCCTACGATCAAATTATCGTCATGTTTTTTCAAGAGCTGCCCGATGCGGTAAGTTTCTTTCCTATTTTTGGGGACAAAAATTAATTTTCTACTATTACCAGTGACGTCCACATCCAAAATTTCAGAAAACTATCTGTAGTAATTACTAAAACAGTAACACCCTGTAGCTCGAAAACTAAGAGGTTTAGGACATTAATGTGTATATTAATGTACATTAATATACACTTTTCTTCTTAAAATCATCCAAATATTCACATCCTGAAGTATCGGCATTAAATTAATTAACACCCTGTATTTCAGAACGCCGATTCGACGATATTTCGCAACTGGTTCTCTAAAATCGACATTCTTTTCCTGCTGATCATTCCCGTGAAAGAGAACGCCCTTTTGGCCAAAATCAACCGGCTCAAATCCGAGTTTTCTCCCGGCTGCATATTCGAAAACGTCAAGACCAAAGCCGATCCGTTGAATGTCAACAACAACGCCGATACATTCCAGGATATTTCCTCCGAAGTGATATTCGTTAAATATTTATTTAGGATACTGCACGTGAGTTCCGGCAGGTGCTTAATCGAGATAGAACGCGCCGAAGAAGGGTTCGTTGTCGAGCAACTCTTCGGGTTTTTGGTGCACTGTTGTTATTTATTCCATAAAGGTAGGGCGAATTTTTGTAATCGACTAGTGATGTTTATAAAATTGTCGTTTTTCAGCTGATCATCCGAATATTTCGAAAATGGCGGTGGATATTTTAACAAGACGTTGCGAAAACGAATTGCAAGAAACTAATAATAATTTTTCGAGATTAGCTACTTTTTATCCCGTTTTGAGCGCTCATTGGTGTAATTTAATGAATTTAATCAATTTAAAATCGTATCATCAACTTGAAAATACCATGTAAGTATAGCTTTACCGAAGTGATAATGACGTCATTGTTAGTAATATCCACGCAGTTCAACATTTCCCTGGTGCCAATGTTAATACTGCCATTTAAGTAGGGGAATTTTACTTAGCGCGGTTGAATTGCCGATGCGTTGTTGCCATATCGTTAGTCTGAAAATTACGCTATTTGTAGTTGACTCGTTTTGACTACAGTTTGTTATTTTTGTAATTTTCCCAGCTATTTTTGTCTTTTTCTGGAGCGTTCTAAATGGGTATAGACAGTCCTAAATGATTTTAGACAGTTCTAAATGATTTTGGAGCGTTCTAAATTATTCTAGAGCGTTCTAAATGGTTATAGACAGTTCTAAATGATTCTGGAGCGTTTTAAATGATTCTAGACAGTTCTGAATAATTTTCATGCGTGCGTTGTGTATTATAATATTCAGTTAAATTAATATTTGCGAGTTCGTATCTCCTCCCGATCTTCTTTTTCATGTTTAAATCCTGTTTTTTGCGGCTTTTTTTTAATTTGTACACTTTGAAAGTAAAGATAACCTTAAATTAAATATATCTGTCATATAAAGGATTTCAAATACAACCCGGCAACATTGCAACATGCTGTTTCGTGACGTCATTGTCATTTTAAAACATATGAACTTTACTATGCATTTTTAGTGTGAAGAACCCTGCTATGAATTTGGAAGTAACCAGGATAGCCAGTACAATAGCACGTTGCGATTTTCTGGTAAATAATATACACAAACTCTATCACCTACCGTTTACTAACGCGACATTTTTAGAGTATAAACGCTCCGGATTTCAACGATTTCTCATCGTTTCTCAAAACCAACGCCGAGCTGTTAATCGACCTCCACAACGAACTCCCTGTATTCGAATTCATTTCGTACGCTCACCTAACCCCCGAACGTAGCCAATTGTTCATCGAAAACGTCTCCGAGATAATCAGGAAGGGAAAGTGTTCTGTAAGTCAACTTAAGTTAACGAACAAGATATAATATATAGCTTTGATTTCCAGTCTATTTACAAGATGAAAACGTTACAATGCATCGAAAAGTGCCACCAGAGCCAAATCGGCGCCGTTCTGAAGCTACTGATACCCGATATGATTAAATTCCATCATTCCACCGTATCGCGCACGGCTACAAACCTGGCTAGCAGGAAAATCGAAATACTATTAACTCTTTCCACCGAGGAAGTCACCAGTCAACTCTCGAAGGAGGATTTCATCCAAATACAAAACGATTTGATCGATTTGAACATCGTTAAAAAGTAAGCTCACCGCGCGTTTTTATTCACCTAACGATTTAAATTCGAGTTTTCGCAGAAGCGAGACGCTAGTGGGCCTTCTCAACAAGCTGTCTTTGCAATGCTACGGTTTGCAGCCCATAAAATTCGAAAAACGCCGTACGGTGAATCCCGAGGATATAAAGGAACTAAAAGTCGACAGAAAATGGTTCTTGAATCAACTTCAGAGCAAATACGACGATTCGAGCATAGGGAGATTCATAGCGGAGTTACTGAACAAAGTAGAGTACAACGAAATCGTCAGTTTCATGTCGAGCAGCGGATTCAACAAGCACATATTAAGGGATTGTTTGAGGCTCGGCATGATGAATTTGAGTAAATTGAGGGCCAACGAGGGATGCGATCTACTCAGAGCCAGCATTGATTGTTTGCTCAAAGACGTGTCGAATGTCGTTTCGAAAATAACCACCCCGCATCAGGTAAGAACAATTTTCCATCTCGGAGCTCGTTTAACGCGTAAAATACTTCAGGTATTCTCGCCGGTCGAAAGGCCAAGCAGCGATCCCGAAACGTTGTATACAGCAAAAATGACGGAGCTGTTCGAAAACGAAGAAGTTTCGAATCTTTTGTACAGCATCGCGAAGTGCGTGCCGTTGTTTTCCGAAAACATCCTGCGGGATCCGTACTACAAAATCTGCGACAACAATTTGGAAGATCTCGTCAAGTACAGCGTGCTGTGCTTGGAGTACGTTCACTATTTGGAGACGCAAAATAGGGACTTTCGAGTGCATCTCACCGACATCTGCCTCACGGCTAGCGATTGCATCCTAAGGAACGTCGTCACATCGTACTTCCTAGGCGTGGATTCCAACGTTACGTGGCTGTGTTCCTCCATAAACAGCCTCTACAGCCTGGTAAACGCTTTATTGAGAAGCGACAATCCCTTACTAGACGTGCCCAAGTACAGCCTAAACAAAGATTCTAGTCCTGTCCAAGCGACGCATCAAATCTACAAACTAACCTGCTGGTTTTTCGATTTAAAATCGATAAATACGACGAAGATTCCGGACTTCCTCTTCGACAGGATAAAAAGTTTGACGGTTTGTTTGGCCAGGCTGCCTCTCGTCAATTCTTACGCGCTAATTCCGCGACGAGCCTGGAAAATCGGCTGGCAACCCGATCGAATGGAAGGCGAATTTGGAACCGTGGTAACTGCATTGCCCATCGATATACTTCAAGATACTGACGTGCTTCAAGAGTATATTTACAGGTACACGACGACTCATCTAGGGTCAATGGTATTTGATTTATGCTATATTTTTGTGTTCTAGGATAAATTTGTTAGGGTGGACTTCGAGGCAACAGTTTGAGGAGACGTGGATGTGCCTGTTGAGCGTACTGTGCGCTACTCGAGACGATTTAGACTCGTTCGAGCTCAACGATATTCTCTACGCTTCCAGTTTAGCCATGAAGTCTATTACGACTTTATTGCTGGAGACTTTGACTTATCCGGACGTTGGCGATCCGAACGTGTCGAGGTTGATGCACATTTCCAGGAACAATCCGATAGATGAGATGTCTATTAGGTAGATCACTAATTCATAATCGAATGTTAGATTTACGGTATGTATATTTGTAGTGTGCAGAAGTTGAAGAAGATCCAAAATTACCTGCAGCTGAATTATCAAAATTCCTCGCACAATTCGGACAATTATCGAATCAACAACGTATTCAACTTGCGCAATTTGGAGAAGTGCTCGGAGAATTATTCCTGCGGGCAGGTGTCCGTTAAATACATGCTGATCGCGACGAATTCGATCGAGGAAACGCAGGAGATTCTGCCGGTGCTGGAGACGCACAGACATCGCATGAAGAGATTAGAAGGCATGGGATTGGACGTGAATTCCTGCTTGCAGTTTTTGATCGATTATTACTCGCAACTCATGCAAGTTAGTATTTAGCATTTACGGCTAATGTCTGTTAATCGCTAACAGAGAGATAAGTTCTTATCAATCTGTTAACGCAATATTTTGGCATTCACCAATGCCAGTTAATGCTTAACAGTCAGATAAAAGTAACAGAACAAAATCGACTTGATAAAAGAAGTAACAGACTGATAACTTCAATCCAAATGTCGAAATTTTCAAAGTTTTGACCGACTATTTAACAGTGACATATAACATTTTAATTTTATACCTAATGTAATGGAGAAGTTAAATAGACTAGTTTCATGAATTGTTCAATTCATCTTCCGAAGATACCGATAGAAATAGATATTAAATAGATAGAAATATTGCGAAATAGAATATAAAAATAGGTTAAGGTTGAAGAAAGATTCGATTAGATGGAATAACCCCTGGAAAATTATAGTTATTAACTTCTAATATACATATTTGACATTTATACTAATTTGTGGTCATGAGTTCCGCAGGAAGTTAGTAACTATACCGCAATACCAACTTAACCTTGGTTATTTTTAAGAAAACTGCCTGTTAACTATCAGTTACTTCATATATCGTGGCGAATAACAAATATTGTTAACCGACTGTTAAATTTTATCAGACTGTCAGTTATCAGGTTGATAGGCCTAAATTGGTGAATATGGGCGTTTAGAGAATATTTAAATTGTTCTAATTTGTAGTCGAAGACGCATATTAGGATTCTCCACGAACTAGTCAAATCTACGACAATGATTTCCGATTTGTTTACCGATAAATCGCAATTCAGCTGGATGCTCCAGGCGTTTTTACAGTTATCGAAGACTCATAATTCAGAGGATGAATTTCTACATCAATATTTAGTAATTGGAATTTGTAAAGCTGTGGCAGTTTTGTCTCCTGTAAGTGTACGTGTACAAAATTATATTTCTGTATACAAGCTTAATGGTTTTTAGGAGTTAGACACGTACGAACAATTAAAAAAATTGCTGGTACAGTACCTCAAAAGCCCCTACCTGACTTCCAGAATGGCATCCTTATACGGTATATTGTACATTTTGGAGGGTTGTAAATTATCGAATATTAAATTCGGTGGTATATCCGAGGAGATGCAGCTTATTCTTCCCTGCGCCGTGGAATACGTTCAGCTGAATTTAAGCCCATTTTACGAGTAAGTACAAGCGTACAAATTAGAAAATTTGTGTAATTAATATAAATGTTTTAGCGCTTTGAGAAAATCTCAGGAGCACATCAGTTTAGTGTGGTCTCTTGCGTTCTATTTAGTCGAAAATATCGATGAAATTCACATGGAACAAAATTTCGTCACGACGGTTTTATCCACCGCCTTTTCCAATCTCAAATCAAAAAACCCATCTTGGTTTCATGCCATATTAATGAAGGTAAAAATTCACATTACTCGATAATTCGACGATTACATTGTATTGGTTTTAGGGCCTCGAACGATTGTTGATAATCAAGAAAAACGTTTTGTTGGAATCATTCGGCAAGCAATATTTGAAACTGGCTTTGGACAAAATGAAAAGCGACAATCCCACCGTATCCATTTTGGGCACGCAGCTACTCCTAAGCTACATGTACATAGGTAACAAATCGCCTGATTTTCTCCGGCTGTTCGCCGAATTATAATCGAATTTTTCCAGATTGCGGCGATCACCTGCAAAGCGTCCAGACGCAATCCAACGTGCCGACGAGCCCGGAGCACCTCGTGCAAACCATCGAAACCATATCGGCCATATTCGAGAGGATAAAAAAGGGCTACGTTTGCGAGGTGGAGCTGCTCTGCGCCGTGCTGCCCAACGTTTTGGACGATTTCTTCACGCCCGCGGACATTCTAACGAAGGTCATCGGCGAGTTTTTGTCCTCTCAACAGCCGCATCCGAAATTGCTCAGCAAAGTCGTGTTCCAGGTACGGGAATTCGTTTCGTAATTTCGAAGCGCGTTCTTTTGCAAGGTGAAAATTTATCGGCCTGACAACGAAAGACCGCGATTTTCATTAGAAAAATTACATGATTCTAGATTATTCAAGCCAAAATTATTAGTTCCAGACAGTTCCAATTGATTTTGGAGCGTTCTAAATTATTATGGAGCGTTCTAAATGATACTGGAGCGTTCTAAATAGTTCTAGACAGTTCTAAATGATTCTGGAGCCTTCTAAATGGCCTACATCTTCTAAATGGAGACAGTTCTAAAGAGTTCTGAAGTGTTCTAAATCGTTCAAGGCAGTTCTAAATGATTCTAGACATTTCGAATTGATTCTGGAGCGTTCTAAACGATTCTACACAGTTCTAGATGATTCTGGAGCGTTTTAAATGATTTTGGAGCGTTCTAAATGGTTATAGACAGTTCTAAATGATACTGGAGCGTTCTAAATAGTTCTAAACAGTTCTAATTGATTCTGGAGTGTTTTAAATGATTCTAAACAGTTTTAGATGATTCTGGAGTGTTCTAAATGATTCTAAGCAGTTTTAGATAATTTTGGAGCGTTCTAAATAGTTTTGGAGCGTTCTAAATAGTTTTGGAGCGTTCTAAATGGTTATAGACAGTTCTAAATTAGTATGGAGCGAGCTAAATGATACTGGAGCGTTCTAAATAGTTCTAGACAGTTCTAATTGATTCTGGAGTGTTCTAAATGATTCTAAACAGTTTTAGATGATTCTGGAGTGTTCTAAACGATTCTAAACAGTTTTAGATGATTCTGGAGCGTTCTAAATGGTTCTAGAGTGATCTAAATGATTCAAGCCGAGAACTTTTCACCCTACCCTCATAGTATTCCGTTTAGAAATCTCTTTAATGTATTAAATTTCTCAATAGCCACTATATTTATTAATTGGCATTTTTTGGTAAGCAACCGTCGTTTTAGTCAACCGACCATGTTGCTGGACCGCCGCCAAAAATCCAGTTATTTATATTAATAATTTAGTATTTTCCATTAACGTTTACAAACAAAATAATTCCATTTCCAACGAAAAGAAATACGTCCGTTAATCGACAGCCCGCGAAATTTTCCGCAGGTTTTCCAGAGCGCCATCCAACAGAACCAGCTGTCGCTGCTGCAGGACTGGGTGGTGTTCAGCCTGTCGAACTTCACGCAGTCCTTCTCCATCGGCATGGCCACCTGGTGTTTGACCTGTTTCTTCGTGAGCGCCAGCTCCAACGACTGGCTGCGCTCGTACTTCCCCTACGTGCAGACGCGCGTGGGCCGCTACGAGTACGAGGACAAGTACATGCTGTGCATCGCCGGCGCCAATTTCTACAACAGCCTGACCAACGAGAAGCAACGACAGACGTTCGTGGATAATTTCGCGAAGGTCAGGAACCAACCCGATACGCCCTTCAACGATTTGTTGTTGTCTTTGTAGACGCTGTTCGAGTTTATTGTTGTTGACGGTCAAAGAATTTAATTGTTATGTAATAAGCAACAGATTTGTAAATATATGTTTTCAACTATAGTTTTTTTTTTTTCTAATGAGTTTGATGTTTCTTTGGGGAGATGCAGGCGCGAACGTGGCGAAAATTTCCGTGTGTAATGGAGTTTCGTAATGTTTCTAAATCTGGATTCGCTCTCCTATCCCATCCAAACTTCCGCGAATATCCGAAAGGCCGTGAATGCCGCTCGCGTTTGTCGAATCGTGGATATCATAGGCCCGGGACCTTGGCTTGTCGTCGGAAAAAATCAACGGAACGGACTTGCGATGGGTATTTTTAATCGAAGCCTTTGTTGACGTTGGATTTTTAACGAATCGTAGGTTTATATGTTGTGTGTCGTTTGATTCGATTAATAGTTTTTTTTAAATCTTTTCAAACAAAGCTAGTGTAAACAGTAGTAGGGTACGTGGAATTCGAAGCAATGCGAAAATGCCCCGGATTAAGAGAGCCAACTTTTGTCGAAAAAATTCTAAATGGCTGTTATGAATGCAATTATATTGTGGAAAAAAAACTGTAGACGGTGCTGGCCGGGGGCCATGGCGAATGTTATTTTTAACGAAATTTTTACAATACTATTCGCACGGCGACAATGCGATAGTTTGGCTCATCTGGAATTTTTCGAAACGAATCGCCAAAAGACTAATTGCGATGATTACCACGAGCAACTGCTCGGTAATTAGCCAATAATCGAACGGATTGAAAAAAAAAGAAGCAATTGAAGTTATTCCGAACCTTTAATCTTCGGAAAATCATATTTTTGGCAATTTTTAGGCCGCGAAAACCGCGGCGAATCTATCCTTTGTTCGCCGCCGCGGTTTTTTTTTTCTAAAATTATTATTTTATAATTCGCTCGTAGGAGTAACTGATGTACGAACGCCTACCTTAATTTCTACTTTTTTTATGCGTGTCTATCAGTTACTCAATTTTCCGCTGGACATTTCAAGTTCAACTGATCGCAAATTAACGCTACCATTAATATAACCAAGCTGAATAGTGAACATTTGCAAAAGAAAATAAATAATTATCCATTAATCAATCGAGTGAACTTCACTTTATATCGTCACGGGAGATAAAGACGCTGGCAAGGAGAACAGAAAATTGTTTTTCGCAATACCGCGAAGGGTGAAGGGAAACACCCGGCGTTTCCACGTCGATACAAAGCACCGCAGATGTTACATATTAACGAACATTGCGCGAAATCTGTACCATTTGGCTCTTAAAATCCCGACGACAAATTGATATTAGAAGGTGAACGCAAATTGTGACGTCCGATAAGCCGGGCCCTGTCACAATACGCCAGTGTACCGTTTCAAAAAAACGGTTATTTTTATTTAACACGCTATTGAAGTTTGCAATTCGCGGACCCGAAATAACTGGGCGAAGGCTGGGCGACCGAAAAAATTCCCGTACATTTTTGGTTCATGTCGACGATGACCCGTGATTTATTTCGACGGGCCTGCGTCGCGCTTTGTCGCTTCTAAAACGCTCCGGAGAAAAAAATCCGGCTACGTTTGGAGCGCGATTGCAATGAATTATTCAATAATTTCAGAAAATACCGTCGGTTATATTTAAACTAATTAATGCCGCCCGATATAGCTTCATACCTGTTCGAATTTAGAACGAACTTGCTCACAATTAATGAACTTGAACAAAAAATTGGCAAACCTTGCGCGCTTTGCCGAAAAACTAGCTCAAGTTTCCACTAACATCAATGCCACAAACTCTAAAAAAACTGTGCTTATAGATGAGGTAAGTACTTACAAAAAATCCTCCTTTACGTAATTCTTCTAGTATGTAAAATGGCGTTTGAAAAATACAAGAATCCAAAAAATGATACATAACTAATTCCCGTATTCAGAAGTTTTTTATAATCAAATGGTTTTGTAACCAGCGATTATATTTAGAACTGTTTAAAACAATTTAAAACGCTCCATAATCATTTAAAATTGTCTAGAACAATTTAACACCATCCTAAAACTGTCTAGACCCATTATGAATGCTCCAGAATCAACTAAAACTGTTTAAAACCATTGCGAATGCTCCAGAATCATTTGAAACTCTTAAAACCATTTCAAACTAAACTGAAAAGAATTTGTTCGAATTTTTTGGAGACACCCTGTACACGATGCTTCATTTACAAACAAAAATATGTCGGATATATGTATATGTTTATATTACCACAAACATAATAAATTAGTCCATATAAAGCCCAAAAACTATGTTTTAATGGCAGTTAAAAAAAGCTAAAAAAAGCGCACGTCGTTTATTACTCGCACTACTATAAACTCCGTTTTAATTTCCCAGTTAATTATGCACGAAAATCTATAATAAGCGGTAATAGAAAAATATCGTACACCTCGAAATAGCTCGCCGTAAATTTCGGCGACTAATCTTTTGAAATCGATTTTTTGCTGTCGATTTTACGACATCGGAGCTAAATGAAATGAATGGAGTTGCGATGTTCGTTTCGGTCGAAGTTTGGCGCAAATTCGCGTTGTATATCAAAATTCGTCGGGCCGGGCGAGGATCGCCTAAAAATTTATTACGGGCGAATAAAAGCGGATTCTAATTAATTTATTTATTATCATTTTGCCGCGGTCGAACTGAAAAGTGTTCGTAAATTATTCGCGATTTACTACGATCGTTTATTGTTTATTTTTTAATCGGAATTTACGATCGATAAAGGTTTTAAAGGATAATTATGGAAAAAATTAAAAAAAGAACAATGTTTAATAATAATTTCACTAGATGAAAAACACTGCTATTTCTTAAGAATATTGTTCGTCACCCAGTACAAAAAGACGCCTGAAACTGTAATTCCACTTCTAAAACAAATTGATATGATTAGAGGAAAAACTTTTATCTAACATTAATCTACAAATTTCGTTTAAATACTTACAAAAAACAAGCTCTAACAATAAGAGAATGCCTCAAAACGTTGTATTGCTTAATGTGATACTCATTATGTCCTCTAAAGTTATTTAATATTCTCCTAGCACTACAAAAAGATAGAAAAATATCAGCGTAACTTCCAAAGTAAATTAATAATTGTATGAAAAAAAAAAAGAAATTATGTGGTATTCACCATATCTACGAGAATTCAAAATCGTTAATGAATACTTCAATAAATTCAACACGTGTGTAGATTATTCGCAAACACTCCCCCACAGCACCCAATTATACATACATGTTAGAAATTTTACGGTTAAATTACTCGTATAAGTAGAAAACGTTTAGCGAATGCATAAAAACCAAAATTTTATTGTTGTTTAGTTTCCAGGCTAGGGATCATAAAATGGTATTTAAATAGTTAATGGATTCGACGACATTTATTAGGTACTCGGGTAAAAACTACACCACACCACACCGTAGATATTGAAAAAAAGTCCGCGAAATTCTATTTATAAAGTTACAGCAACGCCAATATGTTGCTAAAATTCCATGCGAGCATGTTTGCACGCGAATTTCTACTTCTAAGTTCAAAATTGCTGCCCCTTTGAATTTTTTTAATGATATAATTAAACGTTAGGCGTATATTAAATAAACAAAACGTAGTAAATTTAATTCCCTAACAAGGTGAATTTATACTGTAATTCATCATTAAAAAAGTACTTATATTGAGCAAAAAAAACAATTATTATATAAAATTTCCTATACAAACAAAACCATCAATTGTACGCTTTTTTCCGCATATTACCTCTTCTATCAAACCTTTCTTGGCACCAACAAAGCCGATTTTCGTCGATTAAATCTTCAAGTTGGACGCGCCGGACGCGAATCTTAGCGTTCCAAAAAATAATTAATAGACCAAATAAATAATTATAATTATTTTAGTGGGGCCTTGAGCTTCGCTACTGTCCCGAACATTGTGCGTTTGTCTAGAAAAACGTTCGTGCTTCACCTGTTTTGTAATTAATTCTGATGCGCGACTTCGGACTAATGCCAATTTCATCTATATTTAATTTTACACGGACATTCGAGCGTAAAAGCGAACTTTCTTTCGCAATGCCGCTTATAGGATATGTAAAATTCTAATCATTTAGGACTTTTATACCGGGTGGTTCTAAAATACTTTTTATGTCATTTTTTAAGCCAACTTTAAGTAATTTTTTAATAGATTTTATTGGGTAATTAATTATTCTCTTGGATACATACATACATCAACATGGTTCTTTTAAATATTGGGTGTCCCAAAAGTAATTGAAATTTTTTGGTGGCCATCAACATTACGTCCCTTAGAGATCCCATGACCTTAAATGTTTCTTGCAATAACAAACTGAAATTTTACAATTTCTACCCATTAGATCGTGTATTTTTTCCTAATTGAACATCAATAGTTCACTTATGACAGAACACAAATATTTCTCTACTTAGTTGTTTTTGAGACACCCTATACATCCAAGAAAAATATGTGTAGATAATTGATTCTCATGATGACACAAATTCTTTGGACAATTAAATGGTTTTCTTGGATCTCTTCGAGCAAAAACCACAATTAGAGCATTGTTAACTTTTGGAAATTATTTTTAATCGCCCGGTATGAGATTAGCCTATACGGCATTGAAGTCGAGTTAAAAATATCCTTACCTATTAGAAGATTAATCGAGGAATTTCATTTTTATTTTGCGTGATAAATAAAAACGTCTATTATAAAAAAAAAAGTCTTGGACAATGATCAATATTCGACGATAGCATGTAATTGTGGAATTCCATTATCCCAACGGTAATAATTCACCGATTTGTTTGACAATAAACGCCGTACGGATGCGAACGTAGTTTCGCAGGGTCTAAATTTAAAATTCTAAAATTTATATCCCGATTTTTCAATTCGAGATTTAATCTTTTGCGTATGCGTTATCAGGCCGGTGCGGTTGTTTTTCTGGATCACGAGAACGCGCGTATCGGTAGAAATAAAAATAAAAACACTAGACGACGGATTTCATCAGATATTATGACATAAATGTTACCTTACCTTCCGAAATTGTCCACCGCTATTAAAGCTCTGCGGCTTTGGAAAGGAAACTTTCTGATCTCGACGAAGCCGTACGAACTCAGAATCGAAGACACCTGAAATGATGAATTTATTTATTAAACGGCGATTTTCAAGCGTGAATCACGATTTTTTATAAACCGAAGTTTAAGATGATTTTAAAAATAAAGTTTATATTTACGTAACGTAATTATTGTTCATATCGAACGTTTTATATTTAATAAGCAATAAAAACGGAAATAACTAACAATGCATCAAATTGTAATGAGAAATTTTACAACTTTGTGATTAAAGATTATGCGCTTTTGCTGAATTTAAGTGCGGCACAACAATTTTATTATTTTATTTTCGAAATAAAAGCGTCAACAATAGCTCGCTCATGATACTCAATTCTTCGGTGAGAGATAGAAATAAAAATAGAATCTCTTCCTGAAACATTTTAGTGAATCTATTTTAATAAAAAGTAAAGTCGAGGTCAAGGCCGCCCGAAACGTCTAAACAAATTTTTATTCTTGCAAGCGACTATTTTTTCGCGCAATTATTTCAAATCTTGTAATTTACGATACAATTTTTGATATGTATAAAAATAAGAGGTCACGATGTCACCGAGTGTTGTGCGCCTTCCAAAAATCATTTTATCTATTAATAGGTTTTAGCGACGTCCCACGGAGATTTTGCAGAGTTATATTTAACATTTTTCTACAAGTACAATACATATTTCTATCTATCTTAAAAAAATGCGTACTTAATTTTGTACGAGACATATTAGCATTGCCAGGATGATAAATCGGTCTATTGTCTGTAGGCTATTAATGGCCACATAAGTCTTTAATTATTAACATATTATCTAATCGCAAGCTGAAACAATCAACTTACTTCTGGTATATTTAATGAGCGGTTTTTCGCAGATTCTACGACTAAGTAAGGAGGCCTCGTCGAAGCCGGATCAACCCCATCCAATTTCTGTAAACATCCAAAATAAAATTATCCTGCGAGTGAAATTTGATACTTATTACTTACAATATTCGAAACTGCTCCTCTGATAACGTTCACCCTATTTTGAAAATCTGAAAGTCCTGCTATAAGTTCGGCGCTCATGAAGGTTTTCGATTTTGGAAATTTATGATAGACGTTGAAATAAGCCATTCTTATGAATATGTAGCCCGTACAGAACGAGTCCCAACCAGCTTCGTGGTATTTCCCTTGATTGGTGCAGTTTTTAATTTCAATTGCTGGTGAATTTAAAGCAAGATGTCTCCCGGTGCCATTTTTGAAGTATTCAAACATGTGCGATAAACTTCTGTCGTTCCAGCGTTTTTCCTCAGGTACAGAGTGCTTCAGTTCGTAAGATATGGTTTTTGTGTCGTATATTTTTGGAAATAACGTGGTAATTAGCTTTTTAAATTTGTTGTACGATGCAGGTAGAGCAGTCTCGAAATTTTCAGTTAATATTAGTATATCTTGCATTAGGTTGTGACCTACTAGAGGTTTCTGTAATGACGTTAACAGGCGAAAATACTTTAGTGAAACCTAAGAGGTTGTCTATGATTTCTTCATCTATATTCTGCAGTATATTCAATTTTTCGAATTCACCATTCGATACCTTCTTTATAACAAACTGTTTATTTTCTACGTATGTCCAAGTACATTTAAAACGTCTTCTACAATTCTTATGCAAGTAATACATAACTTGGTAATTGTGTTCATATTTTTCGAGTAGTTTAGGTAAAATAAATATATCACCATTTTGAGCAGTACTTAGCCATTTTTTAATATCTTCCGAGTGGCTAGTCAATTCATTCTCTAAATCAATATTAAACATTAACTGCACTTCGGTAATTTCATTATTTTTAAACCTACATCGTAATTCATTTTCGTGATCTTTGTTAATGTAAGGGACTCCAGATGATAAACACTAAAACCATCAAATTAGTACAAATAAGGAGGTTTATATTCATTACCTTGTTGAAGTCGAATCCATAGAAATTCAAAAATTCCAATGTATCAGATTGAAATAAAAAATTCTTCTGAATGAAGGGGAACGAAGCGGGAATCAAATAAAAATTGTACACAGTTCCTACATAAATACCTGTATCGGGAGCAAACGAAAACGCCGTAATACCAATTTGAAGAGGAATAGTCAATTGCACGTTTTTTCGTAGTTTTTCATACCTTTCCTTCGGTGTATCAAATAAGCTACAGGTATCAATAAGTTAATAAACAAATAAAGGAGAGAGAATAGAGAATAACATACCTCGGTGATTGATTCTTGAAAGGATGTAAAGCGCTAAATTCCAAATCTATCGAAACAAACTTCGCCTCCTCCAAAGACGTTTTTATTTCATTAAATTTGTCTTTGAAATTGTAAATTGTAATATCAGTCATTTTGAAAAATAAGTGTGGTTAGAATTTTGAATTCCGAAACGTCAATGTCAAAAGTCAAAGAAATAAGTAATGCAGGGAACTGTATGAAACATTTTATATGGAATAGAATTAGACTTTTGATTTGGTTAAAAAATTGTGGGTTTTATTGAAAATACGATAATTATAAAGTGAATTTGAACGTATAAAATTATTTATATAACTTGAAAATTATTGACTTTATAATATTGGTATGAAAAACCATTTACAAATGGGGATGTAGCTCAGTGGTAGAGCGTTCGCTTTGCATGTGAAAGGCCCCGGGTTCGATCCCCGGCATCTCCAGGTTGTTTTTTGATTTTTTTTCCAAAAAACTAATTGATTACTAAATTTTCGAAATCTTTTATGAAAATAACGTACCTCAAGTATTCTTAACAATAAAGAAACCTTTAAAAAATGCAGCGATATGTTAAATAATTTTTAGCGGCTGTTACGAGACTGTTTGAACCTAAAAATTTTAATTTTAAAGAAAAAAAACTCAGAATTTGCGTTGAAGTCGGAGCAATCCCGTATAGTCCCGGTTTGGCAAAATGCCCATGGACAGAGTCCCCGACAGGTAGCTATACCGAGTTTATAAAAGCTCTCATGAACTCGACTCGTTGCCCGTTTGTGCAAAAAACTTTTCAGTGACAACTTAGTGCTGCTCTTAAATGGGGGCCTAAACAAATCGTGTAGTTTTTAATCGTTTTTCTGGAACCTTTAAAGAACTAAATATCGTCGAGTGATAACGACACTGGGACCATATTTTTGTGTTTTAACTAATCGGTAAGTTAAAAAGTGCTAAAAGTGAAGTGAAAACGTGGTTAGAATTTACCAAAAATTATATTAGAGAAAAATATTAGTGTACCCCTTAGAATTGGATAAAGCAACCTTTAAAAAATTCGAGTAAGATATTTTTGAAAAAAAAATAAATAAAGTCACGAAACCATGGATTTATAAATAATGTGTCAATATGACATATTGGTATAAATTAATTGCATACATGTAAAGGAAAAGACCAGAAGGTAGAAAAAAAAATTAAATATTACATCAATATACAAAAATTTATTATTGTTATTATATAATTTCGAAAAATACGTAAAAAATCGCGGAGCCCACGTCTTGCGGGCAGCGCCGCTTGCCAAAATTTATAAAGACAAGTGTGCTATAACGGTAGCTGTGGATTGGCAAGCTTCCCAATACCGGGCCATTCCTAAAATAAAACAACTTTGCACTAATGACGACGCATTCTAAAATAATATCCCGATTTATTTCTAATAATTATTATCATTGTAACCCCGGAGTTATTTTAAAATTTTGCGCTCCGCGTCACGTGACGGCCGCCGGGGGTCGCCGGCCAATCGCGTTCGTCCACATGCCACATGCGTACGGCTAAACGGTTACGGCGGCGGTGGAACCCGAAAAATGCAATTTTCCGATTAGAAACCTCATCTTCGAACGGGAATTTCGATTCGGCCGAACTCCTGCGGCTCCAACTCGCCGTCGATTTCACCGGAACCATTCCAATTGAGAATTTCGAAAATATTTCGGCGCATGGCAACGTGGCCTTTTGCTCTTACAGGTTACGTGTTACCGATTTACCTTCTGTCATAAGTCAGAGCGAAACGTCAGAAGAGTAGAGAATTTTATTGTATTCGTGTAGTGATTAGTTTTTTTTCGATATTCCCGCAGAGGTTTCGAGAATTTCGAAGACGTAAAATGTTAATAGTTTATTTCGAGTTCCATTGCATTGATTCAGATAGTAATTAATTCGAATTTCTGTTAAAAGACTGTGACAGTGCAACTTGAGTATTTTTAGGTTATAATTTAGTAATTTTTAAAACACGTTTTTAAACTTTATACGGTGAGTTGCAATCCTACCTAATCTATCCAAAAATCCCTCCAATATACTCTTAATATAATACAAACTCAGTACAAATAAACTCCTCAACCGATACGATAAAAAAAGTACTGTTACTTCACGCTTCTTTGTGCCTACAGTTATTTGTTTAAATAACCTTCCATTCTTCCTAGATATTCTGGCACGTGTTTAAGTAATTTTTTCTCGAATTCAAAGTACTCGGAATTAAAGAAAGTGTTTTTTTTTTGCAGAAGTGACAGTCGGGCACTATGGAAGACGGTCACGCCAAAACAGTAGACGAAGTACTGAGGTACTTCGATACAGACCCAGAACGAGGACTTTCAAGCGATCAAGTCAAAAAGAATCAAGCTAAATATGGACCTAATGGTAAGCGAACGAATTCTATTCCAATTTGCCACACACGTAGAATACGCTGTATGACTCAAAAATTAATGGCTACTTTTTAATCTACAATACAATTGAACGTTTTAATTATCATACAATTGCCATTATTTTTATACATTCGAATATATGGAAATCACTGTATTCTACAAATTATAATTACCTACTTAAGAATTAAGCATCGAGTTTATTTTGAATATTATTTTTTTATTATGCTACAATCTCAACAAAGAAACTATTTATCTTATTAATACCTTGTTCAAACATTACAAGGAAGTTATCCCAAATAGATAACCAACAAATTTCCACTAATATTTATCTAACGACAACTTTATTTTTTGATTAATTGTTAACATAATTTGACTACTCATAAATAAATTCTAGAAATTAACAACTCTTAACTAAAATCCAGACCGCTGTTTTGATTACAGTATTAAATCGTAGAACGTAGATAAAATTTGTTTTTTACTTGTTCAAATAAATACTTGATCGCTAAATCATTACTAATTACTGATAAGAACAATTAGAAACGTTAATTATGTGTGGGTATTGCAGGGTACATACTCAAGCGTATTTCATTTACGAATTTACGCAGACTATTTATACACAGCAGACATCTAGTACTCAATTTTACTAATTTAAATGAATGTTGTAATGTTCGAATTGTTTACTGTAAAACTAATTAGTAATGTGCATTATTTCCGATGACGTTCCGTGTGCAATTTTGATTAGAATTTACCTTTATCTCTTGGAAATTACAAATTTTTTTCATATAAAATTTAATGGGAAAATCAACTCGAAAATGGATCTCGAGTGGTTTTTGAATGAGTTGGAGTAACTGTGTTGTAACACTTGCCCAATTTATTTATCCTCTTTGTATATCTGGCTTGTTTTATTGAATAGGAGCCGATAATTCTATTTGAACTCGACGATTATGAATTGCAAATAGTTTTATTTGAGCTGCCGGTTGATTATATTGGGACTTGGCGTGTAATTAACAGCTTGCTTTGTAATTAAGTACACCTGAGAGTACATAATTCAGAATGTGTAATTATTCCATTGACTTTTCTTAACGTTCTAAATTTGAATTGGCGTAAACCAATTTATATTTTACTTACTTCTGCTAATAACTTTATTTAAAATTCAGAAATTAATTTACAAATCTTTGGTTGCCGAACGTAAACAGATTTCAGCTAATTTTATTACTCATTTCAACGCAATTCTAATATAAAATCTATTTTAATAGAAAGTTATTTACAGTTTCATTGGGAGAATAATAAATTATGTTAGTTTGTCAGTACATATTGGAATTGTAGACTTAATTACTAACACTTTTATTAACTAGTTATGATTTGATAAATATCTTATTTATCACGATGTAGTTTATTAGATTATTTTATTAAATTCTCGTTAACGAGCTTCAATTTTGTTGATGTAATTTAGGGATAGGGCAGGATCTGCGATAAACAACCAGTGATTTATTGTCAAAGCCCTGTCATATTCATGCTATAATAGATTTAAGCAGGCAGTAGAGCTCCATTAGTTCGCTTTTGAATCGCCCGGCATTGAAAATAGATCATAAAGAGAAAAGGAGAATTTTGATTAGGTTTTTCCATTAATACCACCTGATCTGATTAAATCAAATGAGTTATTATTAATACAGGTGTCTAACAAAATCAGTTGTATTCGTTTTATTTTGATATTACATTACTAATAACGTAAGTTCTGAATTGATTCTCAATTATACTTATTACACATTTGATAATTTCCTCAAAGTAATTTCAGAAATTATGTATATAAATCGATGCCGCACTTGCACACGATATCACCAGGCGTGTACGTTATGTATTTTACGGTTTTCAATGTCGTTGATAACACCGGAATTTGAACTAAATCGCTTAAAAGCGGCGGCGTCACTACTTAATTGCCTTCCGCTATTAAAAAACCTACGTTAATACGTCATAGAGACCGAGGATTGACGTTTTTTTATGCAATTACCTCAGATACTTACGTTCTAAAATAACTACAATCGTATGAAATAACTGCTATTCCGCGCATCCATAGAAATGTTTTGAAGGTAAACAGGCACCTTTGAAGCTGCGATAGGGCTATTTTAAATCGTGTAAGTACGCCTCATCGTCGAAAGAACAAAGGTGAACAGACACGGCGTTTCGTTTATATTTTTACTCGGTTTTTCGGGCCAAATGGTCCGCGAATACCAGACTACTGTTAGGCGGCGAATTTCGAATTACTTGGCCGGGCAATCAAGCACAAGGTAGCAGGTACATTCATTAAAAGATAATGTCCCAGTTGGAGCCGGTGCAAATTTTTATGCGAAAATCGTAAATATAAATAGTTAATTTGTTGTTGGAGATGCTTATAAAAATCCATTTGATATCCGGTAGATAGTTGAATATTATTGTATAGATTGATCGGTGCATTCGATTTTCTTCTCAGCAATATAACAGCATAAATTTGCGGCTAATAAAACAAACAATGTTGTTTTATTCGCACATTTGTAAGTACATAGTCGGTGTTAGTTTTTTCTGCCAAGGCTATTTATTGGAAGGCGAATTGAAAACTTGGGAATGTGCTAAAACAAACGTCACCATTGACGTAAATGGTGACGTCACCTTTCGCATGGTTTGTCGTCGAGTTTATTTATTTATTTATTTATTCATTCACAGGGTATAAGGTAGATTTGTTTATTTTTTTACGAATAATTGATGCGTATCGTTTCATGTATCGAATTGTATAAGTAATAAAATAGTTTTGTGCATCGAGAATTAATGATTGAATTATTTTTCTTTTAACAATTTTCTTGCTAATAACTGCTGAATACTTTAAAAAAAAATCAAAATCTCTAATATGTCTAATATTAAAAAAAAAAAGATTGAAAAAGATTAAAGCAATTTGAGTTCAAAATTATTAAGCTCTACAGCTTTCTTGTTGAACATGTGTGCCTACTACAATAAATTTTTGCTTGTTTTCTCCATTAATATTTCTCTTCATTAATATTAAACTCATATTTTTTATGCGTTGCCAGGTAGATAGATACAATAGGAAGTTGTAACTTCTGAATAGGGCCAATGAAAATATTTTTATATCGTTTACAAATCGGGTTGATTGGTCGTTTATCTCTTAATCTGGGTATAATAGGCTCGTCTGTATTTGCTTAGTTTAATTGTCCATAATATTTTATGCCATAAATTAATATTTTATAAATAATGAAATGATTAGCTAGAATCAGAATGGTGCAGAATCAATCCTGTTGCAGTGTATAATAATGATAAATAGAAGGAATTTTCTTGAACCTAAGATTAATAATGAAAATACTTATCAAAAGATAATTTGTTTATTGTACTTAGTTTTACTGGATAATGGCCTTTTGAAGAAGCCTTAGTGAACTAAATTACAACTTTTTCTTATGTAATGGAAGGTATATGTTTACAAAGTCGCCTTCGTAACAAAAAATAACGAGTTGTGGTAATTTTCTATGTTTAGGTATTACAATACATGTAGGAATAATTTCGAAATACCTATAGAAGTATTTTTTTTATTTTAATTAGTAACAAAAGTTTAATTAAGCTGTTGAATAATTTCGATACCATTCAACTGGCAGAAACTTGTTTACTTGCCTTTGACACGTGTTTGCTTCAAATTCAATCATTTTGTTATTTCCAGTATAGAATTTGAGATAGAATCTAGCTAATAGGAAACCAGTGGATATCTGTTCAATATCTTGACGAGGAATTTCCTTAATAAATTACTCCGTCTGTCTTGGAATAGAGGAAAAAATCTCTGCAGTGGGTTATATTTCTCCTGACATAATCCAGAAATATCCAAGTTAATTGCCAACTTTTTTTTTCCTTTCAAAAAATTCGCGCGTTAAATTTAGAACGGTTATTTCGGTTCAGGATCAACTTTAAATATAAGTTGACCTTAGTGTTTTTTTGTGTATATTTTGACATTAGTTATTTACTCGAAAAGTGCAATTTATGCCGAAATAAAACTTTCAAAGTTACGATTCTCCACTTAAAATCCTTTGGATAATCGCGGTTGAAAGTTCCAGTAAATTAAGTAATAACAGCGTTATCGTTTTCAGGAATTTATTAAATAAACTCGATGCTTGAATTTATTTGATTTTAATTTTAACTGTTGTTTTAATTGGTTTTTGTTTTTTCCAGAACTTCCTGCGGAAGAAGGTGAGTGGATTTATTTTTTTTAATCGTTTTTAGATTATTGTATAATTTACGTCAAATCTGAAAACAGTGATAGTCTCATTTCGTCGGTTTTTCCAATCGACAGCGTCGATTATCGTGATTGGAACAACAAAAATAGCCCATCGAGTTCCGATTTAACCCGGCGAATTTTTCATACTTTCGAAACCCATCGGAAAGGCGTCTTTCAACACCGTTTCGCTTATTCAACACTCCATCTGCCCGGTTGACGGGGCCCGTTCGCTCTTGTGAAGCGCACCGAGCCTCCGCTTTTATCAGATTTTCCGCGATTTTCCATTTCAACTGTCGACTCGAACGTGTTCCGATTCATTCGACGTTCCCAATGAGCATCCGCTCGATCTGATTCTTCCTCTTGGAGGCGATAAGTCGGTTTCATAATTGTGGTACATAATAATGTAAACACGCAAGTGGGTCAAGCGAGACGTTTTCGTGTTATTGCATGAGTAAGCAATCGCAAAACGGTTGAATAAATAACGTTTGATATATGGAAATTTTCGTGAAATACTCCAATTACTTAATGGACGAATATTTCTATCAACGTTTTCATTTTTCGGTAAATTTTTGTCATGAGTTATGACGGGTAGAATAATTGTAATTACTTTATTGAAAGTGACGATACAGAAGAACATTATTGAATTCGTGGTTACCTATTATCAAAAACACGATAATAGTGTTATCACTTGTTACTTTACATATTTACTTATGTTTCAATAATATTTTCCAACTCAAACTAGACGAATGAATAATTATAAAAGAATAGCTCGGGTTGGGAAATAGTGTTTCTGGCTTTTACGATTTCTAATAATAGTTCGCTATCTTATCTGCATAAAAAATTATTATTTTACCGTTATTCAAACATACGAAAGAATAATTGTTCTACAAATTGTTATACTTCTATTATACGTTTTTATGGAACACTTTGATGATATAGCTACATCTCTACAACACAGCTTTAATATCTTAATATTTAATTTATACTGGATTATACATTGTATTTTTTTCTGTATTCTATCTAATTGTAATTCGATTCATTACGAGAATAAATAACTAATCTCGCGAGGTAAGGTTAGCGCTAATGAATACAAAATTGTCATAATATCCTTGAATTTCTTATTACGAACGTCGACATTTCGGATGTTACATTATTTTTTCAACTGGCTTACATTTAAAAAATAATCCCGCAGTTACATAAAAATAAACCGCTTCTCTAACGGGACCTCGTGTTCCGTTTGATCTCCCTTTAATCTACCATATCGAAATTAAAACAAACTTTTGCGCGAATTTTAGAATTACAGACACCTATATTCGATGCTACCGATGTTTATTTAAAAACCTTAGTAATGATTTATGATTTGGCAGTACTTCAAAACGAAAAAGATCCCCATTGTTACCTATAAAAAATTATTTTTAAATTTAAACGCAGGTTTATTAACTGCAGGGGATTGTGAAATTTTAAATTTCGCCCATTTAAAAACTACATTTAATTGTCGTTTGCGCGATAACCCTGCAGATTCGAGTGCCTTGTAGCGATAAGATTACCCTCAAATCCTAAATTCATATAGGTAATTTCTTTCCATAACTACACTTCATTTTATTGCCAATAATAGCCTATAACTGTTTTCAGATACATATTAAAACTTTGAATTTTGAAATAATATACAATTTTACTTTGCAGGAAAGTCCATATGGCAATTAGTTTTAGAACAGTTCGATGATCTACTAGTCAAAATTTTATTATTAGCCGCTATAATTTCATTTGTAAGTATTAATTGGGTATATCGATTAAAACATAATACGAAAATAAATAATTCAGGTAATAATTCACTAAATATTACTTGTTGAAAAAATGCAATTAACTCGTGTTTGGTTTGGATAATCGACCGATAACTGAATATAAAGTATCGAAAATAAAAATTTTTAACATTCGCAAAACAAGAACCGATTTCGGACCAATAAATCACGCACGTTTGGCGAGCGATTTGATAATTTTGACATTGCGAACGATGGATCCTAAATAAATTTAAATATAGAACAAAGGACGCCGCAACACACTCGGGCCCGTTTTAAAATAATGCAAAGTGTAAACCGTGCTAAAATTTTCTGGTTAATATCCAGTAATTGCTTAGGAAAGCATGTTATCAGATGGTTCTGGAAAAATGCACGTGGGCCCGTATAAAAATATTACTGTAACACAACACCAATCCGATCGTTGGATTTCACTCGTATGGCAGTAAAATACGTTAATTATTTTTATTATATTAAAAATTTACACAAACCAAGCAATGCATAGGAAAAATAAGAGTTAATCAATGCAATAAATGAGCAGTGCGTTTAAGCTTTGCTCTAAAATGAGTAAGAATTATGTCAAACAAGATTCAAATCATATATTTTGGTTATTTTTATTATTCGATTCTGACGATTTAACGGTAATTGCAGTAGGTGAAATAATTTTGCCCAATAAATTTCAAATTGAAGTTAAAATAAACCAATAGACTTTATGGGGCAATAAAATATGCAAGCTAGGATGCAGCAGCTCCACCGGCTTTGTTATTCATACGCAACCGATTAAATAAACGTGGGTTTTAATCGATTTCGTCTATTATATTGCATAAAAGATTTTCTAAAATAGATTTTCGTCCCTTTGTTTTACAGGTATTAGCTTTATTCGAAGATCACGATGGCGCTTTCTCGGCGTTCGTGGAACCTTTTGTAATTTTATTAATTCTTATCGCTAACGCAGTAGTAGGTGTTTGGCAGGTGAGTGAATCCCATTCTGATCCCATTTGACCGTTATATTCAACTCGACCGGACGTTTTGCAGGAAAGAAATGCGGAATCGGCGATCGAGGCCCTCAAAGAATACGAACCCGAGATGGGTAAGATCGTTAGGTCCGACAAATCGGGCGTTCAGAAAATCAGAGCGAAAGAAATCGTACCCGGAGACTTGGTCGAAATATCAGTAGGCGACAAGATTCCCGCTGACATCCGTTTAACCAAGATCTTCTCGACCACCCTCCGCATCGATCAGTCCATTCTAACCGGTGAATCCGTATCGGTGATCAAGCACACCGACCCCATCCCCGATCCCAGAGCCGTCAACCAAGACAAGAAGAACATCCTCTTCTCCGGTACTAACGTGGCCGCCGGCAAAGCCCGCGGCGTCGTCATCGGCACCGGTTTGAACACCGCCATCGGTAAGATCAGAACCGAAATGTCGGAAACCGAGGAAATCAAGACGCCCCTTCAACAAAAACTCGACGAATTCGGCGAGCAACTGTCGAAAGTCATATCGGTGATTTGCGTAGCCGTATGGGCCATCAACATCGGTCACTTCAACGACCCCGCTCACGGCGGTTCCTGGATCAAAGGTGCCGTGTACTATTTCAAAATCGCCGTCGCCTTAGCCGTTGCCGCCATCCCTGAAGGTCTACCGGCCGTAATTACCACTTGTCTCGCTTTGGGTACCCGCCGTATGGCCAAGAAGAACGCCATCGTTAGATCTCTGCCTTCGGTGGAAACTCTCGGTTGTACATCGGTCATTTGCTCCGACAAAACCGGCACGTTGACCACCAACCAGATGTCCGTCTCTCGCATGTTCATCTTCGACAAGGTCGAAGGCAGCGACAGCAGCTTCCACGAATTCGAAATCACCGGCTCCACCTACGAACCCATCGGCGAAGTGTTCCTGAAAGGACAGAAGGTCAAATGCCACGAATACGACGCCCTGCAGGAAGTCGGCACCATTTGCGTGATGTGCAACGACTCCGCCATCGATTTCAACGAATTCAAACAGGCTTTCGAGAAAGTCGGCGAAGCCACCGAGACCGCCCTGATCGTCTTGGCCGAGAAAATGAACCCCTTCAACATCACCAAATCCGGCGATCGCCGACAAGTGGCCATCTGCGTCAGACAAGAGGTGGAAACCAAATGGAAGAAGGAATTCACTTTGGAATTCTCCCGCGACAGGAAATCCATGTCTTCCTACTGCACGCCGCTCAAGTCCTCCCGTCTCGGCACCGGGCCCAAACTGTTCGTTAAAGGCGCGCCCGAAGGCGTATTGGAACGGTGCACTCACGCCCGCGTCGGCTCCCAGAAAGTACCGCTCACCAGCTCTCTGAAGAAGAAGATCACCGATCTCACCGCCCAATACGGTTGCGGTCGCGACACCCTGCGTTGCTTGGCCTTGGCCACCGCCGACAATCCCATGAAACCCGACGAAATGGACCTCGGCGATTCGACCAAATTCTACACGTACGAAGTCAATCTGACGTTCGTCGGCGTGGTGGGCATGTTGGATCCCCCGCGTAAGGAGGTCTTCGATTCGATCGCTCAATGTCGCGCCGCCGGAATCCGCGTCATCGTCATCACCGGCGACAACAAGGCCACCGCCGAAGCTATTTGCAGACGTATCGGCGTCTTCACCGAAGACGAGGACGTTACCGGTAAATCGTACTCGGGTCGTGAGTTCGACGATTTGTCCACGTCGGAGCAAAAGGCCGCTTGCGCCAGGGCTAGGTTGTTCTCCAGAGTGGAACCCGCTCACAAATCGAAGATCGTTGAGTACTTGCAATCTATGAATGAAATATCCGCTATGGTAAGTTTAAATTAATAAATAGTTTGCCGGTTTTTGTATAACGTTTTCTCTAACAGACCGGTGATGGTGTGAACGACGCTCCGGCTTTGAAGAAGGCCGAAATCGGTATTTCCATGGGTTCGGGAACGGCCGTAGCTAAATCGGCTTCCGAGATGGTGTTGGCAGACGATAACTTCTCTTCCATCGTGGCCGCCGTAGAAGAAGGTCGCGCCATTTACAACAACATGAAGCAGTTCATCCGTTATCTCATTTCTTCCAACATCGGCGAGGTCGTTTCCATCTTCTTGACCGCCGCCCTTGGTCTTCCCGAAGCCCTTATTCCGGTGCAACTGTTGTGGGTCAATTTGGTAACCGACGGTCTGCCGGCCACCGCTCTCGGTTTCAATCCACCCGATTTGGACATCATGAAGAAGCCGCCGCGCAAAGCCGACGAATCTCTCATTTCCGGATGGTTGTTCTTCAGGTACATGGCTATTGGTGGGTACGTAGGAGCTGCGACTGTCGGCGCCGCCGCCTGGTGGTTCATGTACAGTCCCGATGGACCTCAGATGACCTACTATCAATTGGTAAGTCGATTTAGCGCAGTCGTTGTAGATGTTATTGAATAAATTTACGGTTTACAGACGCACCATTTGCAATGCAGCAGCGGTGGTGCCGACTTCAAAGGAGTAGATTGTAAGATATTCAGCGATCCTCATCCGATGACCATGGCTCTCTCCGTATTGGTAACAATTGAAATGTTGAACGCAATGAACAGGTGAATTTTACCGCTTCTCGTACGAAATCATCTTTACTATTGTTTTATTTTACAGCTTGTCCGAAAATCAGTCGCTGATTGTGATGCCTCCGTGGTCAAACTGGTGGTTGATTGGTTCAATGGCTCTTTCATTTACCCTCCATTTCGTCATTTTATACATTGATGTTCTTTCTGTACGTACAAATCTATTACACTTCGATCTATTACCACTAAATGGTTATTAACAATACGAATTTTATCAACAGGTTGTATTCCAAGTATGTCCATTGACTGTCGAAGAATGGATGACGGTGATGAAATTTTCAATTCCAGTAGTATTACTCGACGAGACTTTGAAGTTCGTTGCCAGAAAAATCGCAGACGGTGAGAACGCCATTTACACTGTGCATTGGATGATACTAATGTGGGCTGTGTTCTTTGGCTTTTTGCGTGTGTGCCCCATTTAAAAATAAAATAAAAGAGAACCATACCGCATCGGTCTGCTGGCCGGAAGACTGCCTCAACTAAGACGAGAGCAGGGCCTTATTAGTGCGTTAAACGGGTGCAATTTGAGTCATTATTTATATAATATTAAAAAAAAGGTGGAATCGGTATTGTAAGATATATAATCCGCGAGTTAATTGCAATAAACAGATTTTTTTGTCGATCGTAATGATTTTTGGATTGAAATTACTATTTATACTAGATCTGAAAGTGCCTTGCATAAGGCATATTAGGTTTTTTATTTGTTTTTTGTTAGGGTTTTCTTTTTTTATTTTGGGCAAAAACGCGCCTTTTAATATTAGTTGTAGATTATCAATTAGTTACTGCCGCACTTTCATCAATTTCCATTGTATAAAATTTATTCACCGAATGTTTTAATACGCATTTTTCACTCATTTATCGCCTGTATAGATCCGTTATAGAAGGTGTAAATTTATTAATTGTATGATTAGTTTTTTTTTGATAATATACAGGAAATTATCCAAGTAATAATCAAGTGTTACCCGTTCTTACTCACTATAAAGCACCTCTAACAACGCTACGCGAGAAGCATTAAAATACTCTCCGGAATATCCAAATAACGCCTAAAGCAATTTACGAGTCGCGTTATTTGAATATTCATCCGTACACCGAAGTGAGCTGTAATCGTCGAATAGTAAAAGGCAAGTTGTGTGGCCTTCTAGTGTGTTGTGATCTTAGGTGAAAAATACAAAACAAAAAAAAACACTGAATGCATGGTTTATATTAAACAATAGGGAAAAAACGCGTCAAGACTGAAGTTTTTCGTTCAGTAACGAACCGTTTGAACTGTTAGTGATTACCGACAGCTTAGATATAATTGAGGATTCGTTCGTTTTCGCGGGAAAAGGGGGTTTCAAATTTCTAGTTCTACGTATTGGAAATTTAGTCTATGACGATAAGCAATTCCTCACGTTTATATAGAGGCCGTTTCAGATTTATCCGCACCATTTTCGACTCGATTTTTTGGTAGGAATTTTTTGATAACTATTTATTACAATTAAAGGTATTGTGATTTATAAATCACCTACTTCATTTTACTTAATTCGGAATCGAACAACTCGTTCGATTTCATGGTAGCATAAAATTATTATAGTATAGCATTTTTACTATAAGTCGATAAGTTATTGTCGATTTATCTTAAAGTTGCTATAAGGAAAATTGGAGTATTGCGTCAAACGAAAAGTGATATTTTCAGTAGAGCATTTAATTAATCGTATAATATAATCAATTTTATCATAGGAATATAATGGGGGAGTACAGGCAAAATAATGCGAGCCAATTTCAATCAGATTAATTTTGTAATTTACCTCCGTCCATTTTTCGGATAACATGTTAATAAAGTTAGATAAAGGACTAAACCTAGGTTTACCCGGGTAAAGTGCAAAATACCCAAGAAACATGGGAAGGGTAGGTTTTTTTTGGGTTTCTTGGGTTCCCGTTAGGCACCCGTTAACATGCACCTATCATTATTATTACAGGGTGATTAAAATTATCAAAAATATTCATTATCAAAGTGTTTTTTTGTTATAGCTTCTAAACACAAATAATTATAATTAATTAAACAAAAATATGACTCAATTTTTTGCCTGGAAACCCGAATATAAATAGTATAGTACTTACAATTGTTGATAAATTTGGAACGGTCCATAGGCCTTAGATTTTATTAAAAAATATATCTCGATGATTAAAAACGTATACTATATGATACATAAAAAATTGTAAAAAATCAAATCGGTTAGTACATAAATTTAGTATCTAATAGAAGATTTTTGATAGTTAATCGACTTTCTAACATACATATATACCAGTAATTTGTTTTTTAGCCATCGGGAGAGAAAAGTAAATCATGAAATTTAAATTTTTATGTAAAACGTTGTCTATTAATTTCGTGATTTACGCTTGCGTGAATATAGTGACAATGGTTTTTTTGAATTAATTTATTTATATAAAAAGTTACATTTTTTAATATTCTGTACAGACGTAGTTTACTTTCGCCCATTTTACGAACGTTTTTGATAGATTTTTTATAGCATTTTTCCAATAGGACAAGCCGCTTTAAAGGCACGTCCTACCGATTTTTCCAAAGCGCCAAGCCGGTATAATAAATCTCTATTTACTATGCCCGCTTAAAGGCGCCTCTTTTCATACGCAGCAAGTTCAACAAAACATTAAAATATCTTCGAAACTTGCTCGGTTATTTTTGGTATATCTCTGTTAATTTCTGTGTAAATACTGTAATGGGCCGTGTTGAATTTAAATAAAAAAAACGTATACAATTAGTTGATTTTATTTTGTGCTGTGTGATTTTTGTACGGTCGAAACACTTCCGGAACATTTTGATTGCGAGTCATTTTGTACAAGAACATTCATCACTGTAAATGTCCACCGATAATTAATTTTTGCACGAAACTAACTGCGAAAACATATACTAAATCAAAATGTTCTCAACGAGTTTATAGAACTTTAAATGATCTGTGACTTACCCTAGTTAGTTTCCAGTTAATATTTTTGTGATCTTTTAGAGTTTACGAAAGCATTTGCAAAATTACTAATCCGCTGTTTTAATCAAACTTCCGGGCGACTGGTAAATGATTGAGAAATTTTTCAGTATATTTTTGACAGTTTGTGACATATTTTAGTTAGACATTTGAACTAATTTGACATGTTCAAACTTTCTTTGACAATCAAATTTTTGATATTTATGAACAAATTCTCGATTATTTGAAGTCGCCGGTATTGTCCTGTGGCGTCGTTTTTATGTGTAAGTATACTCTCATATTCGTAAAAATTTCAGCTCTATTTCTCACACGGTCGCATATTTCTAAGGTCTAGAAACGGAAAACAGACAAGGTCGAAAGTGCGTAGTTACTTAAACGACCGAAAGGAGGCGATGTTGTAAGGGATATTTTTTGAATTCAACATTTAGGTTTTAGTTTGTTGGATGCAGCCATAACTTAACAATTATTTTACTTGTCTACAAATGTTATAAGTTCGTATTAGTTTGAACGTTTGTAATACGCGTCGCTGATTGGAGAGAGATTGATACTCCGATCGTTCGCCACGGTGCGGTGTCCAAGTGAACTATCAAAAACATCTTCATCCACTAATATAAAACTACTTTAAAGTTTCCAGACCTCAGAAATAAACGACCTTAATTTCTCCTATCGTTGCGAGCTGGAGTTTTTGCGTTCGATTTTCGTCCATAATACTCATACATTTTTTGATTTTTCACAGTACCAAAGCAAATATGCAGAATGTAATAAAGCTCGTTCTGAAGACATTCGAGCCCAGAGTTTGGAGTGATTTTGAAAGTGCCTTCCCCTCCTACCATCAAGATTTGTGGATTTGAAACAAACTTAATCGTCACCTTTCCTTCGTTTCTAATCTTTCTCTTTTACTAACCATACGTTACAACGTACTTTCGGATTTATTTAGTCAGTACGTTGGGATTTTTTGTTAAAAAAAAAACTGCTTAAGAATCTCTTCCTAACGGCTCTCCGGTTTTCATTTTTCCACTAACCAAGCGAGGCAACGCTTCTTCTTCGACCTAAATTCTAACGCTTGACGTTTCTTTTTTCAGTTGGTGAGGCCGTGGTTGATAGATGGTAAACTTCAGAAAATTAGCACCACGCTTTCTTTTTAAACGAACAGTAATATTAATAATCTTTTAGAATTAATGTTGACTCCGATAGCTTGTATCTCTTTATCCGGACGGCTTCTAATTAGAGTCGCGTACTATACTTCTTCTACGACTTCCCGTTGCGAAATTTCCTCACAATAATCCGGCCCTATTCGTTTTCCGTGCATCCAAACACCCGTGATTCGGTTTTGAAGGCGCGTTTCTACTTTTTCGAGCACGAGTCCATGCACGAAGCGCAGGCGCCCAGTCGCGGGATTCCCTCGCAGTAACGGCGCCTGCGCCTCCTACATAGACTTGACTCCTCTTTTGCCGTATTCGAGAGTTTAAAGTTCATACGAGGGCGTGTTACTTAACGAAATGTACATATAAGTTTAATTACAAAAAAAAAAATATATAAATTGTTATTGTTTTTCCCGGAGCGGTAAAACGTTGAACCAGCGCAATCCGAGACCGGCTCACTTACCGGAAGACTAAAAGGTCATGTAGAAGGGGAACTAGCCCCTTCGCCCCGTCTTTCTGATTGTTGTGTCACGTTTTTTTTAGTGTAGGTTAGTTCGTACGCGGCCACGGGTGTTCGAGGTGGCCCATTTAATAATATACTTCTTCATTATTTTTATTTTTTTGGTTTAAATGTTTGGAGCGCGCCGTCGCGCGCCGTTTTCGCCCGGACCGGGCCGGTCCCGATTGCGCACGTGAAGTTTTGTAAACAAGATTATTTGTGTAAATAAAGCGGCAGTTTTATGACTGCTCAAAGTTTAAAGCTCATTTTATTTTTCTTACCTATTCCAAACTAACTTTACTTTGGAAATGATTATTTCTAATTTGGCGTTTTCGTTTTGTAGATTTACGATTTTTTCTTTGTTCTCCTCGATCTGCCTTGATAAGTCCTCGATCGGATTGCCTTTGATTTGCCGTTTGGGCGCCTCTTCGGGCGCTTTTATCGTGCTCAGTTGCGTTTGAATCGCCAACTGTTGGATTTTTTCCTAAAAACAAATAAATTCTGGAAATCACTAATGCACAGTGACAAAAAAGTACCCGGAAAATTGGGATAAAACGCAAAAAAATTTCTTAAATCTCCTTTCAAAATTTGATCCTTTTGAAGCGCACATACACCTTAGTCATCAGACGCCTTTTCCAATCATCAAAACATTTTTATAGGCTCTTTTTGGTACGGTTTTATCTCCTGTGAATTTTCTTTGATGGCATTTATGGAGTCAAATGGCAATCTGAGTTTGGGAAACAAAAAAAAATCGCACGATTCTAAATTTAATGAGTAAAGAGGCTGGTCGATGGTAATTCACACGAATCAGCATGTATGCAGCGACTAGTTGATGATATCGTCTTTAAAGGACAAAGCTCTATCGGAACGAGAGCAGTCTCAATTCGCAGCATGTCTGATCGGCTGAGCAAAATCAAACGAGCGGTTCAACGGAAGATGTTGAGGTCCACGTGCTACTTCTCTAATACTATAGCATGAACATTTTTGAACTTAATTTCCTTCATTTTCTCGCCGTTATCATCGGTTGAAGAGATCGAAGACCGTCCGGACCGAGGCAAGTCTTTAGCGATCTCCCGACTGTTTTTAAAAGTTTTGTACCATTCGTAAATATGGGTTTTCGATAAAACAGAGTCACCTTAAGCATTTGCATCGATTCGGCCCACGAAATTCCGTTCAAAACCCAAAATATGAGACAAACTCTTTGTTCATTATTTTTGTCCATTGTAAAATTCGCAGACATTGACAACTGCTACAACCAAACTGCTTGAGAAATCTCTCTAATTTTTTGCATGCTAATTAAGAACAGTGTTACCTACATACAGAAACATTGAAATAGTTCAGAATTTCCGGGTACCGTTTTGTCACAACCTACATACATCAACGTACTTGAAACCCCTTGAAATCGCTCGCCATTTTGGCCGCGCTGCCCGTGGAATTGTGCCGCAACACGATCATCTTGCGCTCCAGCACCTGCAGGTGCTCCCCTACGGCGCCCAGCGTCTCGTCCAACCCGTCGATGCAGGCGCTCACCAACTTCAACTCCTTGGCGAAGCCGCGGTGCTCCTTGTCCAAGCTCCCCAGCTTGCGCTCCAGAGCGCCCAACGCGCGCACGTATTGCTCCGCCATCGCCGCCATTCTCTCCACCTTGTCCGTCAGATTGGCGTTCAGCGCCCGCAAACGCTGCATGTCCGCCTCGTGCATCGACACCACCGACTTCAAGGACTTGATGCAAGTGTTCAGGTAGTTGATTTCGGTCTCGTCCTTGGTGATGTACGAGTTTAGGGTGTCGATTTGGGTCTTCAGGTCGGCTATCTCGGAGGAATCTGGCGGAACACACATGCACAGTGTAGATAAGAAAGTTGACAAGAGTAATTGGTCCTACTTCTCTTATCTTTTTTGGTCGATGCAGCGCATTCCTGCTCGAGCGAGATGATCTTGCCGGTTTTGATGGTGATGTCTTTGTTCAGCGTTTTGATCTTGTGGCGGAGCTTCTCGTTTTCCTTCTGCTTATCGATCAGCTTCGCCAGGAGCGCCTGCAGGTTGGTCTCGATGGTTGCAGTGGTTTGCATCATGCAGCCGAATTGGGTGAGACCGTAAATATCGAACTGGGCTTGACTACAAATATGTATAATATGTAGCTATTTCTTGAACCCCAAACATCGGTGACCCGATTATTTTCTTATTGTTAATACGTACTCATTTTGGTAGATGTCGTTTTTGTGGATTTCGAATAAATTCAACAAGTTCTTCATGCAGGATAGGGCCGAAACGCAGCTGTCGCATTTGCTCAACGATGTGACTTCGGTTTGGATTTTGGCGCTTTTTTTGGTCGCGTTCGCGTCGGATGTTCCCATTAATGCGTTTACGTCGCTCTAAAAATCAATCAAAATGTGGATTCCCGCTGGATTCCATTTGGACTTTGCCTAATAGGCAAAGTTAAATCGCCGGAGAGTTGATGGGGATTGATTTTGTTGGGGAAGTAATTGAGGATAAAAGCATCGTTCTGACGGATGTAGTTCAATATGTAATCACAAAGTTTAGTGAGCCGAGTAAGTTTCGGGGATATTTGAGAAGTTTTCGATTACAACTAGAATTATTTCGGTAATAAATATTGTCAGTAAAGTGCGAATATGAGATGATGATTGATTTACTACATTCGAGGGGTATAAAATGATGGGATAATATATAATAATAAAGAGATAAAGTAAAATAATTATAAATAAATATAAAATAATTTAGGATAGGTCCTAAATATATGAATAGTTTTTTAATAGAACTTCCTGCTACACCCTGTAAAAAGTACTATTTATTCGCAGCAGAATGAAACAAGTTAGGACAAGTTTGAAATAGCAGATTATAAACTCGAGCAGAAAATTTTATCAGTTGTTGTAGAACTTTTAATTGAAATAGTACTTGGAAGAAGAGTCTTCATAAAATTTCAGTACTTTTAAGTGTTTCGTAAAGTGAATTAAAAAGGGTTAGTATAATTATAAATAATAATTCACAATACCATTTGTTCAAAAAGCGATTCGACAGTTTTCCTCAAATTTTCGAAGCTACACCCAATAGTCATTTGCTGCGGCTGAAGAATTAAGCTATATTCACTATCACCAGTTTTGATTTTATCTTGAATTACCGTCTGAATTAACTTTATACCAACATATAATCTACAAAAGAAACCAATTCAATCGTTCATCCAACAAACCGCCTCCTCTTACCTATCTATAATTAACTCTAAAATCAATTTAACGTCTTGCTTTTCGATGATCCTCTTGTCTTTGATGAACTTGTTAACGAACCGGTGCTCCCTGGTGGGAAACAACCAGGAGAAAACGTCCTTTTCCCTCGTCAAGCGCTCGATGCTGCTATTCAACGACAGCAGATCCTGCTTCAGGGACAACAGCAGCGTTTTGTTAACGTGGCTCCTCTGTGTGTCGGCGTGAAGATAGAGTTTCGAGCCCAGAGACATTGCGAATTTTTCTTTGATCGATGACATTCGCGATTTTACGAGCAATTAAAAGGCCGTTTATATTAATAGTAGATAAGCTGGCAGTAAGATCTTAGTGAGCGGTAGATTAATTTTATACCCTGTTCACAGTGGAGTCTGGATCACATCGAATGAAATTACTGGATTTTGGAATGTGAATTTAGTAATTTTCGTAGATTATTTTTATTATGACCACGCTGGTTACATGCTAGTTTTATCGTAATAGAGGTCCAGTAAAGTATAAAAAATGTTTTAACTTAACCTTGTGATTTATCTTAACAAAACAAAGTCGATAATAATTTCCAAAATAAAAATACACCTTCATTTACTATTGTATAACAATACTGTATGCCTTTAATACTATTATCATCACCTACAGTGTTAGTTTATCCAATTTTTTCTGAGTTTAATTTCTTTTCTTTAAAATCCCCCTAACTTTCGTAATTAGTAGATAGAGTGTGTACATTATAAATAGTGTTTGTTTGAGATTTCCGCGATTAGTCCAAGTCGCCAAGTAGGGAGTAATTTATCGCAGCATTTGCCTTAAAATTGTACTTATCGGTTTAAACAGTCCGCTAATTAAACGCAAGTGATTATCACGCGTTCGGTCAACAAAACGTTTAGACATTTTCAGGAGTACCTATATAGGTGTCTGAAAAGGCGTAACTAGAAAAATGTTCAAGTTGTTTGTGTTTATCATTATTTCTGTAATTTGTGTTGTCAGAGCACATGATTTGGAATTCAAGTATCATTCGAACGAGGAACTGAGCGATGTGTTGAAAGGGTTCGCAGAAAATCCCGCTGGATCGAACTTGAGGAGAAATTTGTATAATATAGGATTGTCTTCGGGAAGGCCAAAGAGCAGTAAGTTTGTAAATTATTAATTATTTCAAAACTTCGGCTGAATTTAAATTTCTTCTAATTATACATTATTAAGAAATGTTTAAAGTTTGCTGATATTTTCAGACGTTAATCTAGTTCCTTTGAATTTCCTTTGTTTGTAAATTATCAAAATTTCTTTTGCCAATGTTATATTAGTATTGCTGCAACTTTTACATCCCATGAAAATCGCTTAAATTAAAATGCTCAGCTGAAATAAATATCTCAACAAGTCGGTTATTTTTAGTTATTTATTTTCTTGATTTTATCGAACGAATTTCGGTAACCGATAATTTATCTTCGCTTTAAATTAGAATCGAATTTTGTAAAGCAATATCCTAGAGTTTCGGTTACTAATTAGCCTGGCGATAACCGAGAAACATTAGAGGTACAGAATTTTGTACTAATGAACTATCATTTTCAAAACATTCCCTGCAATAATTGTTACACAGATAGTTTTTGAACGAAAGGTAAAATAATTATTGCACTAAATTTGCAATAATAGAATTATGAATATGTTTAATGAAATCACGACAATAAAATGTACTAAACTATCAGATATCAAACCATCTCCGCTTTGGGTGCTCGAATTAACAGCTGCCCCAGAAGGAAAAATCGGAGTACCAAACATCAAGCTCGTAGGAAATGTGCATGGTACCGAAACAGCCGGCAGGGAGGTACTCTTGCATTTTATTCAAGTGAGTACCCTCTCTCTTTATCACCTCATTCAACACATCAACTCCTGTTAATTCCAGTATTTGATAGACGAGTACGGTACCAACGAGAAGATCACCTGGTTGCTGAATAACACTCGCATCCACATCGTTCCCAGCCTGAATCCGGACGGATTCGCCGTAGCCCAACCGAATAACTGCTACGGATGTTCCACCTGCCTGGGCATGGGTGTTACTGATCAAGACATCCTCATCAGCAGCAATTTTCCGGACTATTTCCACGCCAACGAGGTCCTGGAACACGCCGCTGAAACCCAGGCCGTCATGAAGTGGATGAAGGACGTCAAATTCGTGCTTTCTGGGAGCTTTTTTGGAAGCTTCGTTGTGGCGATTTACCCTTATTGCAACAAAAGTAAGCTTAAAAATCGTCGTCGATTTCACCACGATACTCTTTCCCTCTAAACTACTTGTTACACAAATTGTACAAAGGTAGTAAAAGAGAAATGTTTGTTTATGAGGTAAATTGATTTCCAGATGAGACTTTTACCGTTAATCCAACCCCAGATGACGATGTTTTCCAGCATTTGGCTAGAACTTACGCAAAAAATCACGTAAATATGTATAAAGGAGAGAGTTGTCCTAATTCTAAGAAGAAGTTCGTTGATGGCATTGTTAATGGTGCATCATGGCAAAATCATGATGGTAAGTCCATAAATTCTATGTTTTTTAAACCGAGTTTTATGTTTCTTTTGCGATTAAAGTTTTTATCGAAATGCGTCTTAATTGCCTTCTGAAAGCAATCTTATCAATGCGAAATGAACTTGGCGCCTTTTTTGAGTAAAAACATTTAAAGATCTAATTACTTTTATCGCACAATGCACTTTTTCATTCCAGCCGATATGACGGATTACAATTACATTTTCCGGGGTTGTATGGATGTCCGTTTCGAGATATCCTGCTGTAAATATCCACAGAGCGAAGAACTTGAAAATATATGGAATGATAACAAAAATGTAAGAATATTGGTATAAGGAGAGGAGTATTAATTTAATTGTGATCAACATTCAGGCTTTGGTGGAGTATTGTTTCCAAGCCAATCGTGGAGTTACTGGAAGAATTTTAGATGCAGAAACTAACGATCCAGTCGAGTCGAACCTGATGGTGGTTGGTAGGAATATGGAATTCCAAAATTTTCCCCAAACAGGAGAATTCTGGAGGATATTATTACCGGGCGACTACACCTTAGAGGTAAAATCTTATTTACGAATACCTACAAAATAATCTAATTTTACGTATCCTCACTATTAGGTCAAAGCAAACGGTTATTACACCCATAGACAAAATTTTACAGTCAAAGATTACGGACAAGATTTCCCTATTCTAACAAACCTTACCATTTACCTCGAAAATTCGACAATTTCCACTACTACAACCACATTATCAACCACTACTGAAACAACTACTATACAACCTAGCACTTCTGTTGCAACATCTGCAAGGACCTCTACAAATCGTACAACAGCCACCGATATAATAACCCAGAAAAGCACCATGAAGAGAATACTAACGAAAAAAACAACGATAATGGAGAAAGAAAACGTAACGTCGATCGAGCCGTTACAAATAGTAAAACAAAATAACAGTGGTTATTATCTTGCACAAAACGAAGCGTTATTTGTGACTATCTTATTGCTTCCAAGATTGATATAACGAGGAAAACGGAATGGAAACGAATAAATTTAGAAATCTCAAATGACGAATGCGACAGTTGTCTGATTTATTTATTCAGGGTATCAACTCGAGAGAAACTTTTATTTTTCTGTAGATTCGTTATTTTAAACGACGTATATTATAATAACAGTACTTGTTAGAGATAGATTGAGCGGAATTATTCGAAATATTATCTTCAAGTTTTTCTTGTTTGATCCCCTTCGGAAATTAACAATCTATATAGATGCGCCTTAATAGCAAACAATTGTAATATCAACTTTTAATTAATTGTTATTCATACAATTTTTATATAAGTTTAAATTTGTTACACATAATATTATCTGTGATATGTAAAAATGGATTTTAATTAATCTTATAAACTTACGGGTGTTCTGTATCAGAATCAAAAGTATCAATAAAATAGTCTCTATTGAAAATTGCTTTTTTATGCGACAAACCATCCTCAATCTTATGTTACAAGAAAAATGAAGAAATTTGCTGGTGAAAAGCCAACGTCTTCAAAAACAAAACTATAAAGTTTATAATAGAAATCCATAAATATTCCTGCGGTAATGCTCGCTTATTCACATCTCTTTATTTACAATCTATAAACTAAACGCGGAGATTTTTTTCCAACTTCCGAACGTTTATTTGTGGAATAACGTAAAACTACAGCAACTACATAGAGTTTACGCTTCGGTATCAGTTGAGGTTTTGCCTCGGGCTAGCAGAGAATCGAACGAAATTCATAAACAATATCGTCAGGAAAAATAAAAAGGAACCGCAAAACGGAGATAAATTTAAGTGTAATTTTCAGTATATCATCAACGACCGTTCGAACATGCGTTCCTATCTCGACCAAACGATTTTATTACTAATTTTCAGCGCCGTTTCGGGCGCACTTTCTAAACTCGAATTCGAATATCACACCAATGAACAGATGGAGGAGATTCTTAAACGATTCGAAACAATCGGAAACACCAAATTAACCACGAGATTGTACTCAATTGGGATTTCTTCTAGTTTTCGTGAGTATTTAAATACTTTACTTTACCCTCGCTTTCGCTTTCATCAAGTTCTCGCACGCCTCGCAAGCTCGAATTTATGATGCTGAAGAGAGCACAAAAGAAATTATCCAGGTATCGAGAAAACTATTTTCGATGTTGTTCCTTTCAGAATCCTCTCAATTTAAGCAATTGCAAGCGTATATAAAACTCTAATAAGTCAGCCAATGGCTTTTGCTACTTTTTAAACAGCCACATTTTTAATAACAAAATTAATTTAAAAATGGATAAGTTTCACGAACTTTAATAGAATTGTTTTTGTATGTAGATTATTTCTCATAAAAATTGCGTTTAATTTAAATGAAACCGCGAAACACTATTACTATCGTATTTTGAGATATGAGAGGTTGTAATTTGAATTTTGACTCAGTTAAAACGAGGAAGTGAATTCTATATTAAAATGGTTATAACCAACTCATATTAAGTACTGGAAAAAACCTAACATAATCTCGTCACTCAAACCATCTATAATAAAGTTGCAGTTGATACTAACTGACTGATGACTCATTAATAATCTCAAAAATTTTCCAAGACAACTGCACATTTACACCCTTATCTACTGTCCTCTGGATTTATTCTGATTTATGTACATCACTGCAGAAAAGCCGTTTCCACTGTGGGTCCTCGAGATAACGGCTGCTCCAGAGAACAGAACGGGCGTTCCCAACGTCAAATTACTGGGAAACATGCACGGCAACGAAGCTGGAGGTAGGGAAATTCTCCTCCACTTCATCGAGGTGAATTCTACCCACTTTATGTTAAACTTATTAACCATTTAAATATCCCGTTATTTTCCCAGAATTTAATAACGCTTTACGACAAAGATTCGAGAGTGACTTGGTTGTTAAAGAACACCAGGCTCCACATCATGCCCACGCTGAACCCGGATGGTTTCAGCGAAGCCAGTAACAGCTGCCATGGTAGTATGGGTAGGTTACTGCATAACTAAATCGGATTTGTACTCAGTTATTTATCGATCCAACAGGCAGGGAAGTACCTTCGTTCATGGTGGATTTGAACAGGAACTTTCCGGATTTCTTCCACCCTAACCCCGAACTGGTGCATGCCGAGGAGACCATAGCAGTGATGAATTGGATGGATAAAACCAAGTTTATTCTATCGGCGGCGTTGCACGAGGGAGATATGGTCGCCAATTATCCTTACGACGCCATCAATCCGAGTAAGTATTAACCTCTTTCGGAGCTATTAAAACTAATTATCTATCAATTAACAGACGGGTTCGGGGCATATTTGACTCCGGACGACGACGTTTTCAAGTATTTAGCGAGAGTGTACGCCGACAATCACCCGGTTATGCACGCAAGCAAAGGCTGTTCCAATGCTGGAAAGGACTTCAAAAATGGTATCACCAATGGAGCCGATTGGTACCAATTTGATGGTAAAAAACACCAGAGTAACAGTTAAATTACAAACTAATTATTATTCCTAATCAGGTGGTATGGGTGATTACAACTACAATTTCCACGGATGTATGGAGGTTACGCTGGAATTGTCCTGTTGTAAATATCCGTCCAACCTTACGAAATTGTGGAGTGAAAATGAAAAAGTAATTGAGTAAAGATTGACTGAGTATTGAGTAGAAATTTATAGAAAAAATTTGTTACAGTCGTTGTTAATGTATTGCATGCAGGCGAACATGGGCGTAACAGGCTTGATTCTTGATGGCACAACAAGAAAACCCGTCGAAGAAGAAGCTATGCTGAGAATAGAAGGAAGAAAATTATATTTCAGGAGTTTCCAAAAAACTGGTGAATTTTGGAGGATACTCTTGCCGGGAAAGTACATTCTTCGGGTAATAACACTCCTATTCAATTTACCACATCAAGTCTAAACATTGGTTTGTAGGTGGAAGTTCCCGGTTATTATACTCATTACGAAAATTTTACGGTAGAGCAACCTGTTAACGGCTTCCCAAAACTCACCAATTTGACTATCCTGCTGGTTAACGCTTCATTTCCTACCACTACAACCACAACCACGACATCTTCAACGACTCCAACAACTACTATTAGAAGTAAACCATCCGTTGCTGCAAATTTAACAGCCAGATTTGGCCAAAACGATGGCGAAAAAACAGACAATGTTACTTGGAATGAACAAGTTCCAATCCTTGCTGCCTCAACAAGCAAGAGTTCTAGAGATCTCCTACTAAGCGAATTATTCTTATTAATATTTATAACGACATTTTATCTTCTACTTTAATGCAATTAAGTATAGAGTACCTAAAATAAAAATATCACAAACTAATAAATACTGTACTAATAAAAATTGTAAATATATCTACATAATAGGTAAATTAAATGTCTAATTATTTCACTGGAACAGGCATCAGCCCTGACCTGGTGCTCCTGTTTCCGCGATGATCGGACGAAAAGAGATCCATAATAATATCGTCGCAACGCTCCCTCCCCGTACGTGGGCAGACGTTGAATGGAAACTTTTGGCCGCTATCCAGAATCCCAACCCTCAACATAAAATATTTATTACGAACGAATAAATCCTTTCGAAATATCTGCGATCATTAATGAAATTAATTTCATGGCGAAACGACGCCATCTGAATAAAACGCGGGATCTTGCCTTCTTCAGCAGTTATTCCAGCGTCTGCACATAAGTATAAATTTAAGGGTGGCTGCTAGACGGGTCAATTTGTTAATATTTTTTGATTGATGCGTCTTATAGTCGGGTAGAATTAATCGGACGATTGTTGGAAAGTTTCTAAAAGCGCCGTGATATTTCTATTCGAATTTAATCGCCTGAAAAAAAGTATTATTTAATGAAACGCAACAGGCGAACGGATGGACGTAAAAAGTCGTCGAGATTTATGTAATAACAACGCTGGAAAAAAATCGGAATGCGCCTTCTGTGTTTTCCAAGTACGGCCTTTCGATCGCCCATCTTGTGTTTTGCGTCGTGTGTGTATCGCGCACTTTTGTAATTCGATCTCAATATATCGTTAATTAGATGGTAGCTTTAATGAGACCAGGACTGGATTCGCCCATAGAAAAATTTAAGGTGAAAACTTTGATCCAGATTAATATTAATTTCAGGAAGATATCGTGTTTTAACTGATAATGATTTAGTAGAAGAGTACTTGGTAATGTTTAAACATTATCTTCAATTAATAAAAGTTACAATAAGTTAACTTTTTATTAAATTAAAGTACTTGTTGAACTTTATTGGAAAAATTGTGACTAAAACATTTAATGTAAGTAAACTCACAGTGATCATGTAATAAAGTAAATCATTTTTTAAAGTATAGATTGTTCTACTTGTATAGTAATTTAGTGCAGTCCGGTTCTGCGTAATCCGGTTGTTAATACATTCTTCAGCGGTTGTGGTGTTTCGCATCCAGAGTGTGATATGGTGCCGATAGCATTTTACTCGCAATAGCAATAAGATAAATCTTTTTGTCTATACGGCCGAGCATCCAGCGGACGTTTCGATGGTTCGCTTTTTTCCGCTTCTTTTCTTTCAATCGGAAGCTGACAGCATTTTTCTACAATAGCTATTCACCTAAGACAGCAATTACGCGCATTGAAAAGGTCCGAGAATCGTTCGTGCCCGGGACTTTATCGCCATTGCGCCGAGAATTCGCAGCATGCAGCTCTCCGTATAATCCCAGCTGCTCGGATAGAGCGATATTGTTTCGGTTCGATTTGCGGAGCACCTGTAGAGTTGAAGGTTTAATGAAAATGTTGAAATTGCTAGGAGAGCGTACACACGCGAATATTAAATGTTTTTTTTTTTGATGGAGAAACGGCAACTCTCCCGAGTCTCTGCGAGTTTAACTATTCGGATCACACAGGTGGTTTAATGACGGTAAAAAATGAATAATATGTGATCTGCACAAATGATACTCGCACAACTGCATGAATTAAATATATAGAGTGTCCTCGCATTTGTATTGTTTCTTCGAGTTACTGCGCAGCTTATTTGCCGGTTGGTGCCCGGGACAACCGGTACATATAGCACAATTTTAAATAAGCGCAGTGAGCGTAATAAATATGTAGATAGGACAATGACATCCACGCGTGGATTTACTTTCATTCAATACAAATCCGAGATCCGAATGTGCTCTGACTGTGTGAGTGCGGCAACCACACCTTGACTTATATGACAGTTGAGGCGCGCACCTGCATAGGAGCCATCTAGATGTGCCGTATGCAATTCATAAGTACCTACGTTCCTCGAAAGAAACGCATAGGTTGGTACTTGTTTTACGATATCGGCGGATCGGTTTGTTTTTTTTTTTCGTTTCGGTCTTGGTGGAATTGATCAACCCATTTTTTCCGTCAGATGCGTTGGTTCTGCGGTATGGTCGCCACCTGTGATGGACGATTTATGCGCACTTTTAATGCCGATATTTCTTCATTAAAGATATTCATCTTTGGGAAGTTTTTGCTAAACGGTTGATGTTGTAAATGCAGGAGTCTCTACACTACTTGGAAGAATAAATGAAGATCGATTTGTCTAGGTAAATGAATTACTAGGTACTACTACTTATAGCATTAATATCGCACTTCTTCTCCATATGAAAGGCTCAATTAGCACCATCCACACTAGACCGTAATATAGCCGCATAGCCTCGCCTTTTCCCCACAGGACGCCGTCGCATCGCGGATTATTTTTTTCCCACCGCCCGTACAGTCCCGTACGCTGTGCAATGCCCGTTTCCTCTTCGCTTAACGCTCGTCGCAATCAGCCGGCGCGGCAACATAATAACGAAAAACTTATTAACAGAGGCCAATAAATTTCCGTTATGACGCTTTGTTCGATTGTGTACGAGCGCATCAATCAAAGCGATCCGTTCGAAAACAATGCGATAGTCGGACGGTTTTTGTTTTCTTCCTTTCGCAGAACCGACGGCTCTGCGGGGCCGTCGTTGAGGCAGGTCGGGGACGACGCGCTTATTCAACGTCCCCGGCCCCGATTAGGGCGCTTTTTTTACGTCGCCATTCAGTTAATTCAGTTTACATTTACCGTGTTGGAATGCCAGGGGAATGATTGGCAACGCGCGTTTCTCCAGCAGAAATAAGTTGGTACTTTGTAGAATCTAATAATTGTAGGTTATGTAACCATCAAAACTCATCACCTCCTCATAACTCACAACTCACAACCCACAACGTACAACTCACAGCTCATAACTCCTATCTATTTTGATGCGAAGTTAATTTGAAAATATCAGAAAGTTTCGATAACAACTAACCCTTCATCAGAGGATTTATGTAGAAAAAATGTTCATCAACGATAAGATAAACTATTCTTACGTGTCTCTCATGAAACTCCTGGTATTCGATTTTTTTCTCTCGAACAATTAATCATTACTAATCGATTGTGCATTGGATCGATCGTAAAACATATTAAGCAGGAAGTTCAGATAGAATGCGATAGTTTATGCGTATTTGTGTTCGTTAACATGAATTCGCAATGCTTTTAGCAATATTACCAGTTGTATCGTGTACTAACAAACAAGCGGGACATAAATATCGATTTTTTATAAGAGAATTGCAGAGGCTGAGTGACGTCAAAATTTAAATAACGTTCCGCAATAATAGCGCATTATAGTATCTAGTATAGATACCTAATAAAATAGCGAAACATTTATGAAAACACACATTGCTTTAAATATTCCACTGCAAGAAAACATATTTTTAATACCTATTTTTGAAATATTATTACTACTACAGAAATAGCTAAAGAAGTAATTCGGGCAGGTAGCGTCTTCAGCTATTTCTACCACACTGTAGGTATAGTCGGAGAAATTGTTTTACACTCGCATGGGTTTCCATGGGACAATTCCCGATCATTTCGAGCGGTAATCTTGATGTATGGAATGATTGTGGTCTATTTCTCGGAACGCATGAATAAACAATAGCCGGTGCATACGGTATTAGTCATTGTGAATTGTGAATTATTCTTCGGCGCAGAGACAATTGTGATTGTTTTCTTTTCATCTCCGAAGAACTCGCTCGAAGATTACAGGTAGGTCATATTTACAGTTGAACGGATCCAACGAAAATATTACATACAAATATGCGCGCATATATCTGAATTAATGCTTGAAATGTTGGTTTGGTAACGCTGATCGAGAATGCTTTCATGCACGAGTGGGTTTTTTAAAGTAAAAGGAGTAATTGAGTGCAAGATAAACAACTAATTTGCGCTGCAATTCACCCTGTACATTAAATAACTTGCTACTTTGGTGGCCCCGCTCATTAACCCAAATAAACGATGGCGTTATTTAACTGTAATTAGATAAATATCGGCGATTAATCAGTAAATCAACTGGACGTAATAAAACCGATTCTATTGGGATTTGTTTGATTATACTCATTGCGTCAAATTAGTGTCGATGGTTTTTTGTTAATTAATTATGATTTGAGCACTGTTTACCTACGTAATGGTAACGTCAAGGCGTTTTTTCTAAGAGAAAATTATTACAAACATAGTTTTATCAGTTTTAGTGGTAATAGCGTTATACAGTTCTCGGTACGACTAATTTAGCAATTTCAATTTGATTTTAAGAATGATGAACATTTGAGCGTTGTCTAAATATTTATTTGCGTAAAAGTGTTAATTTTCCATCGCAATTGGTAATGAAACAATTAGTGTTAGAACTGGACGATTAAATAAAAATCGCGCTTGTTCCGCTATTTAATTAACAGCGTGAGAGGTCACTAATAAGGAGTGATTTAGTAGTTTTATACAAAACGGCACGAGTTGCAATGACGTACGCACAATTTGCACAAAACAGCAATTTCCCGAATGATTTACGGTTTTGTGGACAGATAATAAATTTCCTTCTTCAAGTTCTTGTAGAATATTTTTAATTGCACTCCCACCTATGCTAATGCGGGCAGATAATTTAGCGGGAATTGCAATTTGAATGGTTAATTTATCGCTCGCGCGTTTCGTAGCTCGGACATTGATGTAATAGATTTTAAATAAAGTATTAATAATAGAGCTTCTGTGAGGGCAGCGGTTATTTATTTGTCGTATCGGTCGTATATCATTCGATTCGATTGTGTTACTGGCGTTTTGAATTACTTTATTAAAATAGAGCGAGCAAGTGCTCTTATTTATCTATTGTAGTTTTAATAATTTCTTCGATCACCGTTTTCCTAAAACCTCTGGATTAACATATTAAACATTGTTAGTACGCCTACTTTGAAGGCAATAAAAGAATTCGTCACCATCTCTAGGATATGATTACCATTTGCAACATATGTCAATCGATGTAAATTAAGTTTAGCGCATTATTTACGATGATTTGTAGTTTTTTT